GAAAAGTAGCTGGGGCATTTTTCATGCCAAAGGCCATTACTGTGTATTGCATGAAGTGGTCAGGGGTGACAAATGCAGAAATCTCTGAAGCTCTGGGAGTGAGAGGCACCTGCCAGTAGCCTTTAAGGAGATCGAGTTTGGTGATGAATTTGGCAGGGCCGATGCTGTCAATGCAGTCTTCCATACGAGGAAGCGGAAAAGAGTCAGAGACCGTTACAGCGTTTACCTTCCGATAATCTGTGCAGAAACGGGGTGTGCCATCAGACTTAGGTGTTAGTAGACATGGGGAGCTCCAGGGGCTACAACTAGGTTGTGCCAAGCCGTTTTCTACTAAGTACTCAACTTCTTCTTTCATGACCTCACGTTTGGCGAAGGGGCAACGATATGCATGCTGCTTGATTGGGACTGCGTCTCCAACGTCAATGTCATGCTCACAAACGTGGGTACGCGAGGGTACGTCACTAAAAAGAGACAGGTAGGAGTGCAGCAAGTCAAGTACCTCTTTACACTGGGACGGAGGAAGGTGAGATAGGTTGGCCTCGGCCTTAGCTAAAAAAACAGAATTTGACAACCGCCCACATTGCTGTCCCTCAGAAAGGGTACCCAGATCATCATCACCCTTAACTTCAACACTTAGCAGGGCAACAGGGACTGAACCGGGGACAGCCGTCCCAGCAGTGTCTGATGATTCTGTCATGCTGGTGTCTCTGGTATGGTATGGTTTCAACATGTTGACATGGCATAGGCGAGTCTTCCTTCTGCGTTCTGGGGTGTTGAGAATATAGTTGGTGTCAGACACTTTTTTCACTATCACATAGGGGCCTGAGAAACGAGCCATGAGGGCAGAACTGGGCACGGGCAACAACACAAGAACTTTGTCCCCAGGCTGGAACTGTCTTTCCACTGCTTTTTGATCACATCGTTTTTTCATGTTTGCCTGGGATACACAGAGAGCCTCTTTTGCTAACAAAGTAGCCCGTTGCCACCTGTCCTTGCATGTTTTTACAAACTCCATCACAGTAGTTTTAGGCACACAACCACTGAGAAAACTCTCCTTCAACACCTTTAGCGGACCCCGCACGTCGTGTCCAAACACCAGGGTAGCTGGGCTGAACCCCAAAGACTCCTGCTTCACATCACGTATAGCGAACAATACAAACGGGACCCCGTCATCCCAGCTTTTTCCGGTGTCGTGGCAATACTTACTCAACATCGCCTTGACAGTTTGATGCCACCGCTCCAGTGCACCTTGTGACTCTGGTGGTAAGCACTAGACACAGAATGAGAAACTCCAAGGGACCGTAGAGTCCGATTAAAATCCCTGGACATGAAATTGGTACCCTGATCTGTCTGCACGGTTTTCGGGAGGCCAAAGGGGGTAAAGAATTTGACTAGTGCTTTGGTAATGCTTGCTATCGTGATTTTCCGCGGAGGAATCGCCTCTGGGTATCGAGTGGACACACACATTATGGTTAACAAGAACTGATTCCCTGCCCGCGTCTTTGGTAAGGGGCCAACACAGTCTACCAGGATATGCTCAAAAGGTTCACCGACAGCAGGGATAGGACGTAGGGGGGCGGGGGGCACCGCCTGGTTCGGTTTACCCACAAGCTGGCAAGTGTGACAGGTGTTACAAAACTGCACTACATCTGCTTTCATTGCCGGCCAAAAGAAATGCTGCAGTATACGGTCATATGTTTTAGTGACACCCAAATGACCTGACCATGCGTGATCATGTGCTAACTGCAGCACATGCCACCGCAGACTGGTCGGAACCACCAACTGCCGCACTACGCTCCAGTCTTCTCCAGGCCTTGGGGTCCACTTGCGCATCAATAAACCTTCCCAAACGAAAAATGTCTGCCTCCTGCTCCCCTCACCTCCCTTATCCTGAGCTGCTGCGGTAAAACACTGAACTAATGAAGGGTCTTCTTTCTGAGCCTTCACAAGTGCTTCCCGGGTGAGCAGAAAAGGAGCTCCAGACACAGGAGCTGGCTCAACCACACTGTGAGCCAACTCTAAGGCTCCATTATCTCCCTCATCGGTGCAGGGCATCACATCCTTCTCTAGAATAGAGCCGATCACTGAATCTGACAAATCAACCCCCCCACCTTGTTGCTGGGCACGTGAACGAGTCAGAACGCTCACCGGGAACACATCCGGGTGCTGCAGGCTGAGGGCATCTAACACAGGCTCTATAACAGGATTGTTGGTCACCTCAGGGGTAGGGTAAACTTTCCCACCCACGATATCATTTCCCATTATAAAATCCACCCCATTAATCGGGAGAGAAGGCCGCACACCCACTGAGAAGAAACCACTCGCCAGCTCACTCTGTACCCAGATACGATGGAGGGGAGCAGGCACAAAACTCATCCCAACACCTCTTACAATGATGCTAGAGTCACAGTCAGACTTCTCATTAAATTCAAGCACACTAGCTAGTATGAGAGACTGTGAGCCACCAGTATCACGCAGAATGGTCACTTCACGCTTATCCTCGGTCTTACCAGAAAGCGAAACTATCCCCTTAAAAATGAAGGGCTTAAAACACTCATCCGGGGTCTCAGGGGAAGGGGGCCTACTGACAGGAGGCATGGTTTTAAATCAGCCCAACCCCTTTTGGTTTACGTGAAGACGAGACTGATTGTTTCCGTCTGTAAGCTTCACAATCTGCGATCAGGTGGCCAGACTTAAAACAGAAAAAACACTTTCGGTCTGCCTTGGGACGAAACACAAGTACCTCACTCTTTGGGTGCTGTGCAACTGGCACCTCGCTAGCCTTCACTGGGGCATCGCGCCGGTCATACCTACTGACACTGGTTTTATGGACGAGCGCGAACTCATCAGCCAGCGTCGCAGCCTGCTGTAGCGAGGAAACCTTCTGTTCATTAATATATACCGCGATGCGCTCAGCAATGCAGTTCTTAAATTCCTCTGAGCATTAGTTCCCGGATCGAAGCCAGGTCAGTGGCTTTGCAGGCCGCACACCACCGATCGAAAAGAACACCTTTTTCCCTGGCGAAATCAAGATAGGACTGACCCTGACCTCTTCTCAACCCCCGGAAACGCTGCCTATAGGCTTCTGGGACCAGCTCATAGGCCAGCAGGATAGCCCTTTTCAGCTTGTCATAGTCCAAGCTGGCTATTCGTTCAAACGACTCGAAGTAGCTGTCGACCTCAGTGTCACGGAACATCGGAACCAGACGACTGTTTTTCCCTACGTCAAACGGGGTGTCCGCCTGACGAATGGAGGCGGTCGGAGGAAGGGAAACCTGCCGGAGTTCCAGCTGTCGCAACCTCACAGCTGTCTCTGCCTCCACCTCCACCTTCCTCAATTCGACCTCTCTGGCTCTAGCAAGCTCTGCGTCCAAACGCCTAAGCTCCAGCTCTTTCTTTAGCTGGAACTCCCTCTCACGGTCCTCCTTCTCTAACTGGAGACGAGCCAGGCGTACACGGAGCTTAGCATCCTGCTTCGAGCCTTCACTTGATTCAATGGAGAGGGGTTCGAAGCGAGGCAATGTCATGGGTTTGTCCACAGGCAGCCCCTGACCAACAGGTGTCGACACCAATGGACCTACAGCTTGAGCTGGCGCCTGCGGAACAGGCTGAGACGCTGCACCATGCTCAAGTGGACTGGCAGATACTGGCAAGGCCACTATCCCTTTCTCCACCAAGCCAGCCACAAGAGCAGCTTTCAGCTCAGCCTTACGCAGAGCTGTGGAAACAGAAATGCTATAACCTGATGCCACCTCATGCAAATCCCTCTTCCTACAGGCGTCCAGTTGGACAAGCGAGGGGTTTTTATTAAACACGGCAATATCAAAGGTAGCCATCAACTCTAAAAACAAAAAACTACCTGAGGCTAACAATAACAACAAAGAAGCACCACCTCCAATACACAAATGAGAAAACAGGCGGGAAAAGTGTGGCCAGAGGTTAACCAATAAATAAAAGTACCGCCGATCCTCTCCCCAGACCTGCCTACTAAAATCTTAGCCTAGTTAGCTTCTGGAGTGTACCAGGCTCGAGGCAACTTTAAAGGCTAAGCATCAAGTGCACAAAGCACCGACAAGCCTACCCCCGACAGGGAACTAATCCCCACCCGGGATTACTCCGAAAATAATAAAGGAAAAATAAAAAATGAGTGCCTGAAGGAGGAGCTTATGCTCAGCTAGACACTCCCCTTTGCTAACTGGAGAGAGAGCGCAGCAGATACCATACAACTAAACAAGCCACCGGCAAACAACTCACTAAAACTCAATTGTTGTTCCTTCCATTCATATCCCGGACGAGCCCCCACATTGTTACGTTCCCCCCGAAGGGGTCTAGGCATGTGAGAGAGGGGACCAGTAACAAATGAGTCCGGAATCAGAATGAAAAAGGAAAACAAACAGAGTTGTTCTGCATCAATAAAACCTTATTACAAAATGGTACAGGTTAACATTAACTTAAAGGGCCGGCAACGCCGTCTTACCAATAACGCCAAAGAAACAAAGAAAACGCTCGCAGCCACGAAAGGCAGGAGGACTACCAAACAAACACAATAAAAAAGGAGGCACTTCCCACACTTCCTACCCTACTCCCCACCACGGGGAGACACTCTCAGGGCCCACAAGCCCGTCTGCTCACTGGTCAGAAAGAGGCTGTCTGTCCAAAATCTAGCACAGAACCGCGTAGAGCCACTGAGGAAAAAGCCACCCTGCTCACAGCTCATCCCCAGTTTAAATAGCCTCAGAGGATGATTGCTGACTGGAGTCAGGTGGCAACCGAGGCTAATCAGCAGCAGCTGTGTCCTGGGGAGAGAGGAGAGAGACAGAGAGGGGTAGGAGTAGCAAGAGGGGTGGAGGCGGGGAGAGTGGGCAAACACCCCACCCACACACTCCCACAGCCTCACAGAACGTAACACCGGCCACAGGCCTCTGTAAAGTCCAGATCCTAGTTACAAATGCACTTTATTTTTTCTCTTTTCATTTTTTGACTGTCCTGTTTCCTGACAGGCCCTGGGGAGGATATGGGAGCAAAGGTGTCATTGGTGGAGGATACTGGGCCCTGTTCTACACTGCTAACTCACCCCACTTTTAAAAACATCCAGGCAGCATATGAAGATGGAGAGGAGGACGTTGCCAGGGAGCTGATTCAACAAGCATGCTGTGTGGTGTGCAGTGCTGGGACACCGCGCATTGATGGGGTAAGTATCACTACACTGCTGTGTAGGCTATAAATATAAAATCTCTTATGCAAGTTTGGATCTAGTGTTACAGTGGTACGCTGGTAAGTATGTGCCTAAATTACAAATAAATATAATTTATAATAAATAATTTATGAATGCAATTATAAATTAAAATTGACTGTTATTGTAAAGTACTGAAAATTCTTTATAGAGTAAAAATAAATCAAATACGAGTATTTGTATATACACATTAGGGACTGATAAGAATTTAGCCATTCCACTTTGAGCGCCACCACCAATGACTGTTTTCTGCAGTCATTGGTCACCACCATCTCTAAGCAGTATATTAAAGACATTCACACAAATTAATTACATGCTGAGTCAAGTAGTGAATGGCTTCCACTTTGGTGGCCTCAGGGTCGCTTCTCTGCCTTTTGTGGACGTGGTTCAGTTAGCTTCATTAGGCGGTTGCGTCCATTACACATTGGAGCGTTAAGTGTTGAGACCCTTTGCTACAATCCATATCCAAGGCCATAGTTATTCAGTATTCAACTGCTACAACAGCAGTTTTCAGCTCGTGACTCTGTTTCTCTCTGGAAATGGGCAGGCAGTAAAACAACTACTAGCCCAGGAACTCCTCCTAATTCCTGGGAACTATCATATCCCAGCAGAGGGATATCAAAGCAGAGAATGTGCTTCCTGCACCAGCTGGCAAAAATAAACAAAAACTGCCAAAGTCATTAATGGTGCAGTTTTACTTCTCCATCAGTGAATCTATCCTCCTCTGTCACCATCTGGCATGCTGTTGCCTCTACCAAGGACAAAGGCAGACAGTAGCATGTCATCTGCTCTGCTGAGAAGGTGATTGGGTGCAACCTGCCTTGCCTACAAGATCTGTACACCACCAACACACTAAGAAGTGCAAGGAGGATTGCTGCCGACCCCTCACACCCTGGTCATGAACTGTTTGTGACACTCCCCTCTGGTGGAAAGCTGCCCATCAGAAGCAACACCTCACAGCATGACAGTAGTTTCTTTCCCCACGCTGTGGGACTACTTAACAATGCACCCTCACCCTGATCACTATTTCATTAAAGTAACACACACTACTTCATTTGCCACACCCACATACCTCTGGGTAACACACCTGCCTTGGGGGCAGGTGTGTTACCTAAGGAGCTTGGAAAGAAAAGCGACTGACTTTCTTTAATTCTTTAAGCGAAGTGAAACATCTTCAAGAAATGTATAGAAGTCCCGTCACTTTTTTCCAAGCTTCTTGGATCACCATGACCTGGATGACTGAGAAGCGTTACAGGTATATTGTAATGAAATTTCCAGATGAATTTTTGAAGTCTTGTGTTTGGTCTTTAATGGATTTTTTTTCTTATTTCTTGGGGATATTGCTTTCATTGTGACTGGCGACAGCAATAATTTTGAGTTGGTTTAGGTAATGAATGAAATGCACTATATGGACAGAAGCACAAGGCCACCTGCACTTCTATAGAAGCTGCTTAGACATGGACCCACTTTTTCGCATATGTTTACAAAGGCGGAGTGCATGGCTAGGGCAAAGAAGTTTGGAAATACGTGGGGGAGGGCCAGACACATTCTGTCAGAGCAAATGTAACAGTTTCCAGTTTCATTTGGCGTCTATGGTAGTTATAATGGAATATCTACAAAACTCATAATTATAATTATATGTCTCACCTGTACTACAAGTGACAAATAACGAGACATGTCAGTCAGAGACTGCTAACAATGGTGGTTGTTGTTCTCTGTTCCAGCAACGACAGGAACAGGTGAAACAGGAAATATACTTGCCATTGCACTAAGACAGAGATTCATAACTGGAGAGAGGTTTCACAATTTTATTTTATTATAACGTTATGACGTGGTAATGTTGTGAAACTCTGTGCAAGTATAGCAGGGTATCTGGAGGCGGAAAAAATAAAAACGTTATTTTGTGGCACAGTCGCCAAGCTTGAAAAACCAAAAATCTATTTATAGGTGTGAATGGATGGAGATGCACATCAATTTATATTTCAAAATGATATCTGGTCTATTTACTAAGAGGACGACTGTCATTAAGGCAGCAACCTGTTTTACTCATGGTGTGTCACAGTGTCACTAAGACGAAGGTGAATCCAACACAATCTAAGCAACTAAGGTGTAATCATAATAAAATTAAAGGACTTGGCATAAGATATTGACACAACACACCTAAAAGTTAAGCTATTATGCACAGGTTACTTATTACACCCAGTAACAAGCCCACTGGGGGGTGTTATAATATAACTGCAAATGGATAAACATCAGTTTCACAAAAATCTGTGCTATCCTGCTATCTCTCACCATCTGCTATAGAGAAATATTATGTTTGAGTAAACAAAACCCCAATTGATATCAATTTATGTGTTTAGAAAACATTTGTTAAGTTTTAATGTGCTTGTTTGTGTCTGATTGAGACCCCCTGTCTGATTCTAGTTGACTATGCTCCACCTGTGAGGCATGTGAATGAGTCTTATTGGATTTAAATATAAAGCTCATTGAGTACAGAATGCTGATTTTGGTTCCATTAGTTGGATATGTTCTTTAGGACTAAGGACCTCAGCTCTTTTATTCTTTATCCAAGCCTGTCTAATGTTTTTCATGGAATTTTTCCACGTGCCATCTTTAGGCTGGATGCATTTTGAGGATTTGCTAATTATTACATTAAGGACTTTCCATTCAGTTCAGTTGTATTTATACAGCGCCAAATCACAACAACAGTCTCCTCAAGGCGCTTTATATTGTAAGGTCGACCCTACAATAATACATTCAGAGAAAAAAACCAACAATCATATGACCCCCTATGAGCAGCACTTTGGCAACAGTGGGAAGGAAAAACTCCCTTTTAACAGGAAGAAACCTCCAACAGAACCAGGCTCAGGGAGGGGCGGGGCCATCTGCCGCAGCCGGTTGGGGTGAGAGAAACCCCACTTAACTTTCCAAACATGCACTATATTATCAGAAACGTATGCTTATCTGCTTTCACACACATGAACTTGAGTGACATCCCATTCTCATTCCTTGCATAAGGTTTAATATGATGTCAGCCCACTCTTTATTGTTCTCCTGGCAACCGCCAAACCCATATACATCCAATTGCTTGCAGACCGAAAAACATGATTACCTCTAGAGAGTACTTTTCCACTGCTCTAGAGTCCAGTGGGGGAGTGTTTTACATCACTGCATCTGATGCTTTGCGTTGCACTGGGTGATGTAAGCCTTGGATCCAGGTGCTCGTCTATGGAAGCCCATTCCATGAAGTTCTTTATGCACTGTTGTTGACCTTATCTGAAGGCCACATGAAGATTGGAAGTCTGTAGCGATTGACTCTGCAGAAGTTTGGCGACCTCGGTGGACAATGTAAGTTGGCATCTGCTTATCCTGCAGATATATGGTAATTATGATTCAGTAAAAGGACTAGATGTTACAATCCCTGATAATGCATTGCTTTAAATGGAGAGAATCTTGAAGGATGGCTGTTATGAGGAAAGGCAGCCATGAATTATAATTACGTAGTAAACAAAAAGTGTGATGTAACTCCAAACATGTTTTATATTTTAGATTCTTCAAAATAGCCACCCTTTGCTCTTCGCATTCTCTCCATGAGCTTCGTGAGGTTATCACCTGAGATTTTTTTCTGACAGTCTTGAAAGAGTTCCCAGAGATGCTGAGCACTTGTTGGCCCTTTTGCCTTCACTCTGCGGTTCACCTCAAAAAATCTTGATTGGGTTTAGGTCTGCTGACTGTGGAGGCCAGGCCGTCTGGTGCAGCACTCATCACTCTCCTTCTTGGTCAAACAGCCCTGGAGGTGTGTTTGGGGTCATTTATGCTGTTGAAAAATAAATGATGGTCCAACTAAATGCAAACCAGATCCCCAACAGTGTCACCAGCAAAGCACCATCACACCACCTCCTCCATGCTTCACGATGGGAACTGTGTATGTACCATGCAGCTTTTCTGCTTCCCACAAAGACACAGCAGGTGGAATCAGAGATCCCAAATTTGGACTCATCAGACCAAAGCACAGATTTCCACTGGTCTAAAGTCCATTCCTTGTGTTTCTTGGTCCAAACAAATCTCTTCTGCTTGTTGCTTTTCCTTAGTTGAAGTTTCTTAGCAGCTATGTGACCATAAAGGCCTGATTCACACAGTCTCCTCTGAACAGTTGATGTAGAGATGTATCTGCTACTGTGTGGCATTTATCTGGGCTCTAATCTGAGGTGCAGTTAACTTGTGGTTTCTAAGGCTGATGCCTCAGCATTGATCCTCAGCAGCAGTGGTGAGTCTTTGATGAATCTATTTGAAGTTATTTATCAACTTTTTCTTTGCTACATAATTCCATATTTTTTATGTCTTCAGTTTGTATCTACAATGTATAAAGTAGTAAAAAGAGAAAAACCACTGAATGTCCAACCTTCTGTGTGGTAGTGTTTATTTGAGTCTGTATATCTACTTTTGACCTTGTGTGGCTTATAGAAATGAAATTCTAACTTGTATATACATTCTTTTTTTCATTTGTTTTCTTTTTGTCTTTTGTTTTTGAACGTTATAAAAGATGTATGGTGTGCAATCATTTCATCTTGGAAAAAGAACAATTCAGTGAACTCATTTCCATAACAATTAGACTTTTAATGTCTGACACCAAGGTTATCTGTTCAGTTAGCAGTGTTGGGCAAGTTACTTTGAAAAAGTAACTAATTATAGTTACTAGTTACTACTTAGAAAAAGTAACTGAGTTAGTAACTGAGTTACAAGATTCCAAAAGTAATTAATTACTTGAAAAGTAACTATTGTTACTTTAAAAAAAAAAAAAAAAAGTTTAACCCTCTGAGGTCCAGTTTTCACTACTTTTGATGTTTCCTGTAGTTTCCTCTACAAATCATACGCACAAGTTTTGCAAACAACAAAGTTATTTGCAGCCATTTAGCTTTTTTATAACCATTTCAAACTGTTTACATAACAATCAGGTGTTCTACATTCAAATTATTTGTGCCACTATAAGGGAGAACATCACAGCCTGATACTGCAGACAGCAGTCTCTCTCTCTCTCTCTCTCTCTCTTCACTCCCCCCTCCCTCCCTCCTCACTCCTAAAACCAATTGTGTTGCCAGATCATTTGTTTGGATTGGTCGACATGGTGCATTTTCCCAACAAACCAAAGGGGCTGTTTTTGTTCATAAGCTGAGAGCGCTCGCTGCGCTGTCCTTAGACAGTACGTGATGAAACTATTCAGGAACAAACAGGCGTATATATTGTTTATCATGACTCGGGTTTTGCGTGGCCTATCAACACAATTTATAAACTGGTATATGTCACATTGTTGCTTTGTCATCTTGAAGTGGTCATGTGATTGGCTTACCACGACTACTTTATTCTTCTTTTGCCCCCTGAGCTCCAGGTGTTGTGCCAAAAAGTGATCGTCTGTCAGAAAGTGATCGCCGTCCGCGGGAGCGCGCAGCTGCTTCCGTGCAACTGATATAAGATGCAGTAAGCTGAAGACAGCTTCAACTGTCTGTTTGTTGAAAAATAGTAACACAACCGCATTTTCTTGTTAACGGTAACGGCGTTGTAACGATAGAAATAGTAATTAGTTAGATTACTCTTGACTGAAAAAAGTAACACTGTTACTTGTAACGCCGTCATTCCCGTCACTGTCAGTTGGTGACATATAATCACATCTAATTTCCACGTCTCGTTTTTTAGGCTGTGGGAGCTCTAATGTTTAAATGTGTCCAGTTGAAAGTCTCAGAGCTGTAACGGGGCAGTTGCCACCTTTAGAAATAAACAGCAGCACTGAGGGCACACTCGATGATAAAACTATAAACTGGAAATAAAATGTTTGTGTTCCCTAATTCATCTTGTCCTTTTAACAAGCGTTGCATTTTACTGGAATGTTTTAGCAATCTTTAGAGATTTTTATCCCGGTTTGATAACAGCTATGTAGTCAGCACTCACACTGATAATTATGTGTGAAAGAAAAGTCATGTGATCCATGAAACCCCTGTCCGTGTTGCCCAGACACTTGAACACACAGGGAACTTTGGGTTAACTTGGCAAGTTCCTTCATGTGTCTGTTTATCCTGATCTCCTATGTTAGCGTAAGTGAATATATAAGTGAAGATATCCTTTTTTTCCTCATTTTTGTTTTAATTTACAGGTACGTCTCCTGTGTGTGGCCACTCAGTATGGTGATCGACAGAGTGTGTGTTACCTCCTCAAAGAGGCTTGCATCCCTGTGCCTCTGGAGCCATCTAACAGCAACCCTGCTGTTTTGGCAGCGCACTATGGCCACACCGACTTGGTCAAGGAGCTACTGGACCATGTTCCCGGTAGGAGTACAGCATACAGTCCAACTTTCATCCTATGTGGATATATAGATTCCCTATGTATTATTTTGGTATTAATTATTCATTATAAAATGAATGACCACCAACAGCGAAATGTTGGCCACTTGGTCCTTAACAGGACCATGGCAAGTGCATGGACAACCTTTCAGATTTACACATCACAGCAAACAGTACGGTTACAGAGTTATTACCACGTACAAACAACTTGTAGGTCAAAGTAGCTATACATGTAAAAGAAGCCTGACCCTGCCATAAACCTGCTCCCCCAGCAAGTAACTCAAGATTATCTTCAGCAGATTAATGGACTAATAATAGATTACCTTATGAGTAAAAGAAAAATGGGGAGTTGCAAGCTGCAGCATTGATTGGACAAGTTCAGTTTGTAGCCAGAGATTGAATTGAACGATGTGCTCAAAAGCCGTAGCATTAAAAAAAAAGATGAATACCAGAGTGTTAGTGAGAAGAGGTGTTTTTCTTAAAGTTGAATACCAGGTTGGCTAAAATGGCTGCTGCCACCAAGGCAAAGACAGGTGAGCTCCCTGGAAGCCTGCCTCAGGTATGCTGTTATCCACACCTGACCAGGTGTGGCCAATTAGCACCAGCTGAAAACATGGAGGAGATTAGGGGCTGCAGAGGGACGTAACAAACAAATTAAGGACCGAGAGGACTTTTGGTATTAATCAGGCCAAGAAACATAGAAAAGCAAATCATCAGCTTACAAACATTCTCCGCTCGAAGCCATTCCTCACCACACCCGCAGATTTGAGGATTACATCGGAGCACAATAGCTAAAGTTTCATTAGCGATTGCAGGAGATAAAAGTCTCAGTGATTGGTAGTGGATCTAACTGATGCAAGTAATGAAGAATAAAGTAGGCTCATCCAGGCTATGAATTTCTTTTCGAGGCTGAATTTCTCTCGAGCACGGAAAAGATGGTCCTACTCTATCGAACGTGTTTTCAGCATCTAATGAGACATGAAGCTTTACCTTTGAGGACGTTTGTGGGAAAAAATGTCATTTTCTTTTTAATTGTTTCAATTTATTTGATTAGATTGAAATGGATGAAGGAAGAATTGTTTATGTTTTTAAGTTCAGTTCAGTTTAGCTTCATTCATATATATACAGTCGCCTCAAGGCGCTTTATATTGTAACCCTGCAGTAATGCTGAGAAATCTGAACACTGCAAAAAGCACTTGGTCACATTCATAAGTAACTATTTAATTCAAGGTTTTTGTGAAGAAAGCGCCATCTTTCAGCGACACTGTGTTTGTAGTGGAAAGAAGAGATGGGCGGGGACTGTAAACCTGATAAAGTAACTGGTGGGACCATGGTGGGGTTATTAAGGTTGTCTTGAACAGAAAAGGCAACAGTAGAGCATCTGCATTCGCCATGGCACATGATTTAGCAGTACAAACCTGTTTAAACTGGGAGCCTATTTATTATTTTTGATTTCATCAACTTTTCAAAAACAAATAAGTAACAAATCACTGGCAAACAATCCTGTTCTGACTACTCCGCTCTTGGTAGGTCCATGCCTGAGGAAAGATTTGCTCAACTCGATGCTGGCCACATCTTGCCAGGAGGGTCACCTCGATGTGGTTCGTCTGCTGGTCCAGAGCTATGATGCTGACGCCAAGGACTGTGCAATCCATAGCGATGAATTTGCTGTCATCACTGGCCTGCCACTGTATGCTGCTTCACAAGCAAGTAAGGATATACTCACACAAGAGTCTAGAAAGCAATAGAACAAATCACAAATTCAAAATAGAAGAAAATGTTTTCATCCTGGTAAATGATGATAGTGACAATTTTATTTATATAGCACGAGGTCACAAGGTCCTGACTCGATTCGATCCACGATTCGATTTGAATCGAGGAAATTTTGCCTCAGACAGTCAGAAACATTTTACAATTTTGCATAATTTTAAAAAGTTTAAATTTGTTCAGTATTGAACAGCAGAAATGAGGCTTTCTTGTCGGAAGTAAGTAAAAAAAGTAACAAACAAAAAAACCAGCGGCCGACACCGTAGACTGCTGGGTAACAAGTAGGGGTGGGTTTTGATTCTCAATTAGAGAGAGAGAGAGAGAGCTCTACATGAAGTGTGATTTTTATCGTGGTGGAAGTAAGAGGAAAATCGTGACGATGTTTATGTGAAGCGTTGTTTGGATCGTCTGTGGCTGCTGGTTCAGTCGGTGTTGTTTGGAGAGAGATCAAACCTGTAGCTTCAGAATCAGCGCAAAAAGGACGTAAACACAAAGCGCCAACAATCAGTGAGCTGTCAGCTTTCAGCCTCCACGTCGTGCCATCGGGTGAGAAAGGCGGCATCTAGGGCTGCACGATTATTCGTTAGAAAATCGCGATCTCGATTCATACTTATGTGCGATCTCATTTCCAAATGACAACGATTAAAAAAATAAAATTAAAAAAGACGACGATTGTAGCGCATTTTGATCTGGGACGTACTCTGCATGAAAACAAGCGCTCACTCTTCCTGCTCAACAAAAGACGAGGGCGGAGCCTTATACCACATGATACAGAAGCTGTGCCGTGTGATGCTAAAATTAGCAGGAAAAAAACCACGGCGAGCACGTCAGGGATGACGAGAAAGTGACAGGAGAAAATCCGTCCCGGTCAACCACCCAAACATCAATAACGGGAACCTTATACAGCGCTTCTCTATACCCGTCGAACTCCCGCAGGCACAAAGACATTACGGAGGCCATCACTTATCACCTGACCAAAGATATGGCTCCATCAACACTGTGCAAAACGAGGGATTTAGGAAAATGATCAACACCCTAGACAAACGCTACACAGTGCTGTCCCGCAACTATTTTTCTATTGTTGCACTACCTGCTCTATACACGCAGCGTCGAGCAGCGGTGGAGACGGAATCTCAAGCAGTACAACATTTTGCAGCAACAACAAAACGTGAGACATTAGTTGTTTTTATGTTTATTTATTGTTTTTATGTTCAGTCTCAACTGTTACGAAGTTGATGTGCAGTTAATAAGTGCGATAAATATTTATACTGGAAAAGAAAATCGTGAGAGAATCGTGATCTCAATTCTAAGCCAAAAAATCGTGATTCTCATTTTATGCAAAATCGAACAGCCCTAGCGGCATCTCGCTGATCCGGATGCGTGGACCACGTTTTGTGTTTAACCCTTTGTGCAGAATCAGTGTTCCTGCTCTCATTTACTGTTTTAGATGTTTGGTGGTTGTAGGAATTTTGTGAGGTTTAACCTGAGATTCTGGTGTTTTGGGCAAAATAAATTTATATTCAAAAATCGATTCAGGATTTGGTCAGAGGGCCCGGTGGCGCCAGTGTCCGGCAGCCTCGCCTCTGTCAGTGCGCCCCAGGGTGGCTGTGGCTACAATGTAGCTGCCATCACCAGTGTGTGAATGTGTGGATGACTGGATGTGTAAAGCACTTTGGGGTCCTTAGGGACGAGTAAAGCGCTGTACAAATACAGGCCATTTACCATTTTTAATTAATCGATATCACGTTGTCCAAGCCAGAATCGATTTTAATCGATAATCAAAACCCACGTGCACAAACCTTGGCAGTTTGTCTGGAGCGTACAGCTGTGAGTTAACACAATTCACAGCAAATTGACTTCAGACTATGCAATTAACTCCCCTGTATACCAAAGTACTTCAGAGTCAAATGTGGAGCCGAGTGCCCAACAGGTGTCCCACACACCAGCTAATCTGCAACAGATCAAGCCTGAAGTAATGCTGTAAAGAAGAGCAGGCTAGACTTCCTCCACAGTGATGTGAGGGTTCAATTTAGAAAGCTGGGTGTGCTTAGTTTTTCTAAGGACTATGTGTTTGGACAACATGTCCATATGAAGTAAAGACTGTGTTTTGTTTTGTAGATAATGAGGAGATCGCTCTCTTCCTGCTGCAAAACGGAGCAGGGTTCTCTTCATACACCCTTATGGACCATCCAGCCTTCAGCAAACGTATTCTCAGACTGAAACTGCAGGAAACATACGAGGCAGAAGGAGACAAGGTCCGTGCTGCTTATCCAGTGAATGCATGGCTGTTAAAGGAGATTACTGTTGTTGATCACATTTTTATTTCTTTTTTCTTATCTCCATGTTTGGTCTTCATGTCTTGTCAGATATCTATTCAGGATCTCTGCAGGACTTACTTATAGCACGGAGAGTTTATACAGTACTTATTTAGGAAGGTAACTTCATTGTTTTATTGTGTGGGAAAGTAAATGTTATTAACCTGTTTCCACCAAAACTGCCAGCCTTATATGGGTGACCACAACTGTCAAAACATAATTAAAGCCCTAATAAATTAGGGGCTGCAGAGGGACGTAACACCTCCTCCCTCAAAAGTACTCTAGGACCCCTACATTTATTAAAAGCCCCTCTGAAGCCTTCAGGTCCTTGATCCACAAACCTGAAATAAAAGTAAAAGCTAACAGAAGCACAGTGTTCACATCTTTAAGCATGGATGCCCCTGCATGAGGATTTAAAGTCGCCACACTGAACACACAAAAAGTAACATGTGACCAACACAAAGGAGCACAACAGTCAAACCCAAAATGATTACCTGACCTGCTACAACACAAAACCAAACGTAGCAACAAATAATCACAACCAAGTGATCTGTTGACTCCACCACACAAATAATCACATACAAGTGGCGCTATACCACAACAAGTTACTTTAATGCAGTGGTTCCCAAACTTTCTTTGCTGGGCCCCTCCTTGTTTTACAAGAAAAATGATGCCCCCCCTTCTCGCGCATGCACACGCGCACAAACACATCCTCCAATCACACGCGCCCATATTTTGGTTTATTTCACACCTCAAACATTTAGTAAACAGTTAAGCAAATACAAGTAAACAGCAATAAATTACAGGTAGTAATAAAATAAACTACTAACTTGTTTACGCTGCGTCCGCACCTACACGGGTGATTTTGAACACGCAGCTGTTTCGTCCACGTAAACAATGTTTCGAATCAAAACTGAGATTTTTTAAAACTCCTTTTTTGCGTTTCCGTGTGGACGAGGAATACAGAGTTGGTCACGCAGCGTCAAAGGTATGCGCCTTTATTCACGTCACGCTGTGGCCACGTTATTGTTTACATGAGATGAATTGCAGAATGATAGAGACGAAATACTGTTAATCTGACTGTCTGCAGGTTTTACACGCAGTTACTGTCCCTCTGTTTACAAAGGCAGAGGCGTCACAGTGTCATTATTTTATGTGTAGCTGTTTTTTCCTGTGTAATAATGTTCAATGTTATCAATACATTTTTCAAAAAATGCCTCTCTGTGCAAAATGGGTTCAAAAACATAAACAGCTGTTGGATCCTGTTTGTCCGTGATTTAAACAGCCCAGCGCTGCTCCTGATGCAGGGGAAACCAACCCTGCAGGGAGACCTACCTCAGCACCTGTGCAGGTGAAGCCAAAGGGCAGATTTGCTTCACCATATTTTCTAGTCTTTGTCTTAGAATGAAGTTGGTTTGGAAACATATTCAGCGACGCTTCATCTCCTGCTTTGTGTTTGTGTGGGCGCCCCGTGCTGGCAGTGTCCAAGCATTTTGTTTTTTTAGGGTTAACATAATTAAAGCCCTAATAAATTATTAACTATTTTCAGAATATGTGACCATTAAGAGTTGTGAGAGGTAGCTCTGAATGCATCTGTGTTCTTCACAGTCTAGTAAAACATTGCCCTGTGTGTGTCTGTGTGTAGGTTGTCAGTGTGTGTTGGCGTGGTCTTCAGCTGCCTTGGTTGGAGCTGGATTGGTTCATGGATGTCTCTGCGCATATCACCCAGCTGGACCTGTCATCTAACTGCCTGTCTTCTCTGCCCTCCGTGGTGCCCTGGGGTCTCATCAGTCTGAGGACTTTGGATCTTTCTAACAATGAACTTCAGGAGCTTCCTTTAGCAAACAACTCCCAGGAAGTCATCTGCTCCAGGTACATGAGGACACAGTCCTGGAACGCCTCCATTGGGAATTTGTCGATTTACTTTAAAAATTAGCAAAGGAAAGTCATTCACACGCTAATAATTTTGTGTGTGTTGCCCTTTTCTTGTCTTGGTCTTTGTCTTGCCACTGAACTTTGCCTTGTTCACAATCAGGTAAATTACCTTTCTTCCCAGTGCTTGGTATGAATTTTCTTAGCTCTTCTTGACCGTGTCTACAAGCCTAAAGGCACAGAGTTGCTGCCATGTGATTGGCTATCCTGATAATCTATACTTAATTGATTTATAGACAAATGTAATTGTAGGGTAGGGATAACCCTAACCTCCATTTTTCCTCTGCTTTAGTTTACAACAGGTGAATCTCTCTGAGAACCAGCTGAGCAGTTTGCCACCTGGACTTCTCCATCTCACTCACATCCAGAAACTCTCTGCTGCCAAGAACCAGCTCACAGTTCTGTTTGACCTCCCTAAAAGTATGTTCCAACTTTTCTTCTATGTATGTACTGCTGTATGCACTTATGGACAGAGATATGCTAACCCTAACCATTTTATTTTTTTTTTGCCTTAAATGGAACAACAGATATAGGTGAGATGACTGAAACAGTAAATGTATAAGTCAGCTACTGTATAGACGAGGCGAGTCAGATTCTTTGTACTTGAAATAAAACTTGTGTGTAACCACATAAATTTAGGGGTACGGAAATGAAAGAAAGAAAGAAAACATTAAGAAGTAAATAATAAATGTATTAAATAATAAATATAAAACATTTGAAAAACAAAATAAACTTAATGAGAATAAGTCTTAAATGTATTGTTACTAGAGTCTTTGAGGTGGGGGGGTCAATGAAAGTTCAGATGTCTCCCAGCACTGACAGGGAGCGAGGGTAGCATGGATGCACTTGTTGTGTAAACATAATTTATTTCACAATTCATCTTTCAGGCTCATCATGTTTGGTTTTAAGTCTTATTTTATTGCACTGAAACACCCGTGTAGTTTCATGTTGACTCTCCCCTTCTCACATGGGTGTCACACAGTCTTTCCCACCTCACATCCTGCAGAGATGAGCAGGTGAAAGAACATCACAGATAAAGGAAAAAATGTTCAAATAAACAGATGAACATGTATGGAAGGAAATTTGTCTCAAAGGGGTCCAAATAAGGCTGGGCAACTGATTTGATTCCATTTTTACTCAGACAATCAGAAATATTCTAATTCAGATCATTGGTGAGACGTCATCAGAGGTGTAAACATCGCAGCAGAGGCCTTTGTGTCAAAGTAACTGAGGATAAAACACAGAAAAACATGAAGGAGATTTTCCTGGCCTAGATTTTTATAGCAGATAACCTTAAAAATGTTCTGCAGTAGAAGAAAAATGGAAGAAACCATGAATCAACAAATGAATATTACCTGATGCTGCTGAAGTGAAGCAAAGTTACAGAGGTTTGATTAGAGACATGGCTAAGCGTTTTGCAACTTAGCCTCATTTTAAAAAGTTTACATTTCTTCAGTTTTGAACAGCAGAAATGAGCCTTTCTTGTTGGGAAAAGAAAACAGCAGCCGTCAGCGCCGTACACAGCGATAGTCTGATGCATAATAAGCGCATAATGCAGAAAACAGATTTTTGATGGTAAACTGGTCTCTGAGTACACTGAGAGAGAGGCACGATGTGCAGGAAGTAAACGCAAAAGGATTTCATGATGATATTTTTCAAACGTGAAGCGTAGTTTTCTTTTGCTGCTGGTTCGGTGAATTTTGGTCGGAGTGGCAAAACCTGAGTTAGTATCGCATTATTCAAACTAAAATGGATATTTTAAACCCACTCTAATTACAAATGCACACAGTGTGATCCACAAGTGTAAACTAAGATTTACAAACGTGTGCAGTACAGTCGTCCCTCACTATAACGCGCTTCACCTGTCACCTCGCAGTTTTGCAGATTTTTTATGTGGAATTTTGCTTCTTTTTTTTTCCTTACAGCGCATTGTGTTCTGCCTCCTGATTGGCTGTAGACCATTGTCAATCAGTCTCGTGCCGTGTCTCCTGTACAGTACAGAATGTGTTCAGCTTGTCAAATTTACATACAGTGGGGCAAAAAAGTATTTAGTCAGCCACCGATTGTGCAAGTTCCCCCACTTAAAATGATGACAGAGGTCAGTACTTTGCACCAGAGGTACACTTCAACTGTGAGAGACAGAATGTGAAAAAAAAATCCATGAATCCACATGGTAGGATTTGTAAAGAATTTATTGGTAAATCAGGGTGGAAAATAAGTATTTGGTCACCTCAAACATGGAAAATCTCTGGCTCTCACAGACCTGTAACGTCTTCTGTAAGAAGCTTTTCTGTCCCCCACTCGTTACCTGTATGAATGGCACCTGTTTGAACTCATCATCTGTATAAAAGACACCTGTCCACAGCCTCAAACAGTCAGACTCCAAACTCCGCCATGGCCAAGACCAAAGAGCTTTCGAAGGACACCAGGAAAAGTATTGTAGACCTGCACCAGACTGGGAAGAGTGAATCTACAATAGGCAAGCAGCTTGGTGTGAAAAAATCAACTGTGGGAGCAATCATCAGAAAATGGAAGACATACAAGACCACTGATAATCTCCCTCGATCTGGGGCTCCACGCAAGATCTCATCCCGTGGGGTCAAAATGATCATGAGAACGGTGAGCAAAGATCCCAGAACCACACGGGGGGACCTGGTGAATGACCTGCAGAGAGCTGGGACCAAAGTAACAAAGGTCACCATCAGTAACACACTACAACGGCAGGGAATCAAATCCCGCAGTGCCAGACGTGTTCCGCTGCTGAAGCCAGTGCATGTCCAGGCCCGTCTGAAGTTTGCCAGAGAGCACATGGATGATACAGCAGAGGATTGGGAGAATGTCATGTGGTCAGATGAAACCAAAGTAGAACTTTTTGGTATAAACTCAACTCGTCGTGTTTGGAGGAGGAAGAATACTGAGTTGCATCCCAAGAACACCATACCTACTGTGAAGCATGGGGGTGGAAACATCATGCTATGGGGCTGTTTTTCTGCCAAGGGGACAGGACGACTGATCCGTGTTAAGGACAGAATGAATGGGGCCATGTATCGTGAGATTTTGAGCCAAACCTCCTTCTATCAGTGAGAACTTTGAAGATGAAACGAGGCTGGGTCTTCCAACATGACAATGATCCAAAACACACCGCCCGGGCAACAAAGGAGTGGCTCCGTAAGAAGCATTTGAAAGTCCTGGAGTGGCCTAGCCAGTCTCCAGACCTCAACCCCATAGAAAATCTGTGGCAGGAGTTGAAAGTCCGTGTTGCTCGGCGACAGCCCCAAAACATCACTGCTCTCGAGAAGATCTGCATGGAGGAATGGGCCAAAATACCAGCTACTGTGTGTGCAAACCTGGTAAAGACCTATAGTAAACGTTTGACCTCTGTTATTGCCAACAAAGGTTATGTTACAAAGTATTGAGTTGTATTTTTGTTATTGACCAAATACTTATTTTCCACCCTGATTCACGAATAAATTCTTTACAAATCCTACCATGTGGATTCATGGATTTTTTTTCACATTCTGTCTCTCACAGTTGAAGTGTACCTCTGGTGCAAATTACTGACCTCTGTCATCATTTTAAGTGGGGGAACTTGCACAATCGGTGGCTGACTAAATACTTTTTTGCCCCACTGTAAATCTTCGATCGCTGGCAGTGTGACTCTGAAGTGCTGCACTGTGTGTTTGTAAGTTTTCTCCCCAACAAACAACAATGTCGATGAAACGTTTTGCACCGTCGAAGGCCCCTGTTGGTTCCTTTTGGTTTCATTCTATAATACTGGACTTATTTTTCTACGAAGGTTTGCACTTTGAGAGTTTAAACAAGAGAGAAAAGTGTGAATGTTTGTGCCTGTCTGAGAAAAGTGTATAAAGTGTGTAGTGAGGGGTTTTACAAACGTCTATAGTAATTGTAAAAAATAAAGCTGGCTACTTATTGGATTTCACCTCTCACGGGTTATTTGTGGAACTTAACTCCCACGATAAACAAGGGACCGCTGTAATTTGTAACAAAGAAATCAAACCATGTCCATAAATTATGTGTAATACTGAGAAATGACACAGGTAAAAAGTATTGAACACATGAAGAAAGGGAGGTGCAAAAAGGCATGGAAAGTCGTGACACTACCTAAAATAATCTATAAGTAATTACAAAACAAATTAATATCAGCTGGTTTGGTCCCAATTGATGGCCTCTGAAAAGGTGTCACACAAGAAACATGTCATGATGGGTAAAACACCTTTGCAATCTTATTGTTGCAAAACATACTGATGACATTTCTGACAATTTCTAAACTACTGGAGTTTTCAGTCGGCGCTGCTGTGGCTATAATCTGGAAGTGGAGAGAGCTGCTCCTTGCAAGACTTCAGACAGAGGAGTTAAAGCGCCAAGGACTGCTTGCAGAGAACTACAGAAAGACCTAGAATCAGCACATACAATTGTTTAAATAAAATGTAATAAAAAAATAAATAATAATGCGCTCACCTGACTGGCCTGTATGCACGCTCACCACGCAAGGCTCCATTGCTGAAGAGAAAGCTGTTTACCATTTGCTCTACATTTAGACAAGCCTGTGAAATACTTGGAGAATATAGTCTGGTCAGATGAGACCAAAATGAACTCTTAAGACCATGTTTGGAGGTCAAAAGGCATTGTCTATAGTTGTAGGGGAAAAAAGGAACATCGAAACTGAACTTATTTTCCGAGATTTGTTGAAAGACTCTTTTAAAATCTTTACAAAGGGACCAATACAGCATGTTAACATGTTTAATGTTATGCATTTTCTTCTATTTAATCTCAAAAAGCCCCTAAAACAGTCAGTGATCACCGTTGACCTCCCTCGGCCTTTATTACCACTAATCATTTATTTAAGCTCAGTTTTTAAAACCTTAGGATGTAACTACAGCCCAGCCCATGCAGCAGTATATGAATGACTAACCTCGTATTGTGGATGGATTATCTCAGTTGTTCTCCTGGCTGAAGTTTGGTCCTTTTACAGCATCCTGCCATGCGATTAATTTGTTCCTGACCACCGAGAACACTCACGTTAACTTTTATCGAGTGGAAAAAAAGTTAGCTTGTTTATATTATGCTAACATATCTGTGTCGCTAGCGGTCAGGTAGCACATCATTATATAGCAGCTAGCCCAACTTCAGTAACCCTACAAACGTCACTGCTGTTTAGTTTTCCGTCTTCATTTATGTTGGAAGTGATAACAGAGCTGTACGTTTTAATTTGTTTCCAAAACCCCGCAGCCAGGACATGCTATATTGTATTTAGATAGAAGCTAGCGAGCTAACTCCCTGCTAACTTCTAACTCCGTTAAATGTCATAAATTCCGTTTTCATGGATGCCTGGATGTTAAACTCAATTGTTACACCTGGTAGAGCAGAACGCTGATCATTTTATTAAAGATGAAAGACTTCAGACAGTTTTTCAACTCTCAGTAATGCTAAGTGTTTGTTTGATATATGGACCTGCAGCGGAGTTTAGGCCCAGACACGGCTAGTGACGTCAGACTGAACAACCGGATCGCAAGATAATAACCACTCCTGTACCGATTGTGTGGGTACAATCTTTGTCTATTCAGCTGTAGCGAGCTCAGTTCTCACAGTCATGTAGGCACCAGCCTGATAATGAAGACACCAAGAGTGCGTCATGACCTTGAACACGTTTTACACTCAGTTGTTTTCTAGATCTTCACACTCATTCTTTGTTCAAGAAAGTCACAGTGACATATCAACAGTACACAGGGGTTAGATCATTACAAACACAGTTTGTATAGTTTTCTACATGGATATGAATGAATGTTGAAATCCCATATTCTTTAAATCACCTGAAGAGTGGAATTATATATTTTAATTATTTAAACTGACGAATCTCAAGTAAAACCAGAGCATTTGCACATCCATTCTACTTTGCTGTGTGTGTGTGTGTGTGTGTGTGTGTGTGTGTGTGTGTGTGTCTGTGTGTGATGAATAATGAACTGCCAGTTTAAGAGTTTTATTTAAGAAACCTGTTTCAGTGCCAAGAAAACCTATACAAACTAAAAACAGATGAAAATAGGTTTGATTTGCTGAAAGATGGGAGAATCCATGACACACGGGTCAATGGTTTCAGTTTTAATCACCAGTCACCAAATGCAAAGATTTGAACCACCTGTCTGCTGAAGACAAATGCAGCAATGAATGCAGCAACCCTGGCTAGAAGGTACTCATTCGCACTAATAAATCCTACAAATGTAGTGTGTGCTATTGCATAAGCTCGCTTATTAAATCTGACAAATATTGTGCTATTGGATACTGAAGAAATTTTGAGCATGCATAAGCTCCTTTAAGAGGACAATAGAATCAATAGGGAGAGTCATCAGAAGCAAAGAACTGAAGAGTTTTATGTTGTGAGAAAAAGGCTGACATCAGGAGTAAAGATCAGTTGCACCACTGGCAGGAGAGGGAGGTGAAAAACTCTTGTGTTTCAGGGCGAGGCACAAACAGGAATTTGGCTCTGAAACAAATGCTTCCTAAGAGAACATACAAGTGACTGTGAGCGCCATGTCATGTTTGTCTTACAAACAACAACAAGTCATTATTTCTCTAAATGATATGCAAATCAACTTATATATTTTATTGTCTTTTTTATGCATCATATTTCCATTGCAATTAAATAACCATAACGATTAGAGACTATTTCTTTCTTTATAAGTGGGCAAAAAGAATGTGGGGAAAAAATGAAAATGGATTTTTAGATCACTTTTCTCGTAGTGTGTCAGATACGTTTTTGAGCATCCCACTTTTATTTGTGGTAATTCACACTAGTTTTAATGTCTAGTTTATATGTGTTGTTTAATTCCATTCTAACAGCCACTAACTGGATCGGTCTTCGTAAGCTAGAGGAGCTGGATGTGTCTGAAAACTGCCTGACCAGTCTGTCCACAGCTGTCATGCACTGTTTGAAATCCCTGAGGCTCCTCAATGTGAGCAGGAACAAGCTGAGCACCTTCCCTGACCCCTGGGCCTGTCCACTGGTAAAAAGCCATAATTATTCCTTTCTGTTTTTTCAACACTAATATACTGCAGATGCAGTTAGCCTTGGTTTTTTCGTTTTCATTTTGATGCTGATTCTATACATTCACCCACAGAGATCAGCCTTTTAGAAGTTATGCATAGTGACACTAATATATATATTTCTGTCTTTTCCTGTGCAGAAGCAATGCAAAGCTTCTTCCAATTTGATTGAGAATCTTCCAAACACCATCTCCATCTTTTGGAGGAATCATCTGGAAGAAGTAGACTTCTCTGACAACAGTCTGAAGGAACTTCCTTCATATATCTTTGAACTGGAGGTAGGAGCACTGATGTAGATCTTTTATTAGATATATTAATATTCATCAAGATGGAAAAATCTCTTAATTAAAAAACAAGCAAACAAACGGTTGACTACTTAAAGTAGTAGCAGTGATCTGAACAACCTTCAGATGGCACTACTTCTCTGTGTTTGGCTTCATGAATCTTTTAAGTTCTGCAGTCTAAAACAAATACAGCATAAATCTGTTAGATGCAAAAATATCTGGCTCAGCCTGCAGATTATATTTGGTGCATGGATTGTAGTGCTCTTAATATAACAGTAGACAGCCAAGCTTTAAACTGCTACGATCAGTTAATAAACATTATAACATAGTTATATTACTGTATTATACTACTGTGGGTAGACTGAGTTACAGGATGGGTAAGATAAAAAATGTTAAAGGTTCTTTAGATTTATTCATTTTCATTTTATTTATTTGTAGTTATTTGTCTCACAGTTGTGACACCGTTGGTTAGACAAACTGAGGTAGAACCAGCAAATAAGGAGGCAAAAGGGAATACAATATTAGTCTTTAAAACACTTTATCCTAGATGTTCTGATAAGTCCATTCCAAAGTAGTGGCTTAATCATATTATTGTATTTTTCATACATTTGTCTGAAGACTGTTTGGTCACTGCAGTTAGCAAACTTTCCCTATTGCTTATGACCTTATTGGCATTGTTAATGATACAGTATACTTGAATCACCAGTGGGTGGCTGTACTACTGATCAGAAGGTTGGTGGATTGATCCCTGGCTCCCCGAGTCCCTATCCTTGGGCAAGATACTAACCCCAAGTTGCTCTCGGATGCATCCATCAGAGTGTGAATGTGTGTGAATGTTAGCTAGTAAGCACTTAAAGCATAGAAGAAAGTGCTTGTGTGGATGTGGCATGCTGTATTAAGTGTTTTGAGAGTAGAAAAGTGCTGTATAAGAATCAGGCCGTTTACCAGAGACCACCTTAGCCATAAACAGCCAGCTGTATTTTCCTTGGATTGAAAAAGTGAATGTGTGGTTTGCAGTATCTAATTTGTCTTCTCATTCATTGTCCTATCAGGCTGTGGTCTCTTTGAGATTGTGTGAGAATTACATTACAACACTCCCAGCCCCCAATAAGTGGAAGTGCTCTAAGCTCAAGACACTTGATCTTTCTCAAAACCATCTGGGCAAGTACGTCCTGTCATCACAAACACAACATCATTATGTACATGTATATTTTGTCTAGTATAGTCAACTGGTCCAGAGGACTCATGCTGAGTCTAGCTAAGCTTTCATAACACTTCAGTGAATGAACAGAGTCGACTGATTTATTCATTAATTATTGATTTTGAATACTGTTATGAAATCTTGTTAGGTCAAGCTTTTAACTTCTATGGATAGTTTAAGCTCGTCATGTGTTTAATTGAGCTTAAGCTCAAAATATATAGATTACATCTGTCACCCTTTCATGACTTTGTTTTTACAAATGAATTGACTCAATTACTGGCATTAAAATTCAGAATGATTCAGGTTTACACTAGTTTACAACTAGATTCATGCTTTTGGTGTAAACTGTAGATATAATATGCAGTGCAAGGGGAGGGGGGGCTTCAGTGAGATTTTGCTGAAATTTCACTGAAGCACCTCAAAATGGTACAGAGTAAATTGTATGGTGCCCATGTGCTAACAAAAAAAAGATGAATGATAGGTATAGAAATCCTCACATGGAAATTCGACAACCTTTGCATGTAGAACTCAGCAACCACGCACACAAAGAAGCCATCACGCACGTAAGTGGGTCTGCTTTGCATACACAGCTACTTTTCATGGTCTTGTGGGTGAATACCATGGAGCCGATTTAAAGAAACAGGTAGTTAATCTACAAAAGCTGGACAGAGCCATAGGAAGTCCTTAATCCTTAGTAGGACTACTATCTCTTACTGGTATCTGCTCCTTTGTGCAAGGACTAAGATGAGGACTGCCTCCGCCCTACAAAATCACCTCCAGCAGGCCAGTATTGTGAATATCTCTGACTGGACAGAAATGACTGGCATTTTCCAATGAATACCAAAATCTGACACAGGTATTCGTTGCCACTTGCACAGAAATTCATCAACCGTTGCACATAGAATTAAGCAACCACACGCGCAAAGAAGTCATCACACACATAACTGTGTCACGCTGTTGCAAACTGGTTTAAAGAATTTCTTCTTTCAGCCGGTCTAGAGGCCACCCCAAAATACAGCCTGTTCAGTTTCTTCCTGTGTCCAGAGGAGAAACTGCTGCTCCAACAGACCACACCATAAAAGAAGGCTGATGCCACCATAGAGTCATAGAAGGGTTTCAGGAGCTCCCTCTGCACTCCAAAACCCTGAGCCGTCTGCATAAAGCTAAACTCTCAGCCACAAGCTCACCTGGAGCCAAAGATAAGCAAGAGCCAGTCTTTCCAGGGTTTTCAGCAAGTGTGATGCCAGAATCACCAACTGTTGAGGTCTGTGGGCTTCTGAAGATAAAACCAGAGCTATTGAAAAAGTTATTCACTTCATTCGCCCACTTTGTTTCGTAACAAAACAGGAATTTAAAACTATTTCAGCTTCGTGGGTTCTGAGAGGATCTCCTCCCAGATCTAGACCAGAACCTAAAAACGTTCCTGGACAGTCTGGGGGACAACCTGGTGTCATTGAATGGGCCAAAACACAGACAGAGTTATTGTACTGGATTTGGGGGCCATCCATCAGGAACTGCCTGCAAACTCTTGCCGCATGGGGCCAGGCATCGTCCTACACTAACTCCGGAACCCAGGACCCACTGCACCAGCTTAGGCTCATACAATAGGTCGAGGGATTATACCTTTATTCTTAATAGCAGTCATTGTGCTACTGCCTACTCCATCGAGGTCTGTGCTTCCATTCATGGATACGTATCCCCAAACCATCACTGACCCACCACCAAAACTGATCAAGCTGACAGGCAGCACAACATTCTCCACAGCTTCTACTGACCCTTTCACCTCTGTTGCATATGCTCAGGATAAACCTGGTCTCATTTGGGAGAAGCACAGGATGGACCCAACGATTCTGGTATTCAATGAAAAATGCCAGTCATTTCTGATTGGTCAGAGACATTCACAACAGTGGCATACTGGAGGTCATTTTGTAGGGCTGAGGCAGTCCTCATCCTGGTCCTCCTGGCACAAAGGAGCAGATATTGCAGCACAACTAAGGGTCCATTCGTGGTCTGAAAGCTGAAGGCTCTGCCTCCCATAATACTTTTAAATATCCTAGGAACCACAAGTAAAGCAGCTGAGAGCAAACTGCTCTTCTGAGTTGTTATGGTACTATGAGGTCTTAAAGATAATGCCATCCATGTAAACATCTGGTTAGATACCATATTTCTAAGATTTCTAGGGCCAAGTAAAATAATCTCAGATTTATCTGAATATAGAAGCAGCACATTGAACATTATGCAGGTCTTTATGTCTTTTAAGATATTCCTGTAGTTTAACTAAATGGTGTGTGTTATACTGGTCCCAGCGCAAGAAAAATTAACCAGAGAGAAAGAGTCTAAAAAGTTATCAATATTATTGAAAGTAGCTGTACGTAATGATATGTTTCTGAGATGGTTATACTGATATATATAATAATAATTACATAATTATAAAAACCTAAAAACTGACACTGGTGTATAATCTGTGTTTCATTTTGTCTAGTCTTGTCTATAATCTCTGTAGAGATTTCTGAACATATAAATTTATCTTCCATTCTCAGTGATTGAGAAGACAAGAAAAGGAATAGCTGCATACAGTTTATTACTTTAACTCTGGTGAATCATCAGGGCTGTTGATTTTTAAAGTCACTGTTCTTCACACGAGTGGTCTGCTAACTGTATTTTAAAATGTGTCCATTAGAACAGAGGATAGTCCCAAATCCAGGAGACTGGCCTTCCTGACGACGTGGAACAGGAGGGACCCAGACCCAGGTAGAGGTCATTTCCCAGCTTGTGTGTGTGTGTGTGTGTGTACTAGTGCTGTCAGCGTTAATCTCGTTGAAATGACGTAGATGCCATAACCGCATTAACACAGCAAATCTCCTTTAGCGAGTGAGGGGCTGGACGGCACTAACGCATTGACCTCGTGCAGCCCCACGCACAGATTTGCCACGTTGACATCATTTTAACGAGATTAACGCTGACAGCACTAATATACAGCGGAACCCCGACTTACGAAATGAATTCGTTCCTGAGGGTCTTTCGTCAGTCGAAGATTTTCGTAAGTCGAAGCACCCATCGCGCCTTTTGAGTGAACAATAGGCTATAGGCTAATTGCTAACTGCAACAACAATATGTCGTTCAAATGGAACAGCGAAGCGCATGTACGAAAGCCAAGGGGGTGATTGATGATTCGGAAGGCATTGTAGGCATTCTGGGCTCAGCCAATCAGAGCCAGCGAATTTCATTACACAGGTATTTTGCCGTAACACGGGCAGAAATATTGCCGTTAAGTGCCTTCGTAACGTGAATTTTTCATTAAATGGGGTATTCGTAAGTCGGGGTTCCACTGTATATGTATATGTAATTATGTAGCAAAGAACTGAAAAAATCTGAATTGAATTGAGAAGTTATAGGTGACTGAGTTGATCATACAGACAATCGGTCTTAAAGGTGCACCCTGTTTATGCATCTTCTGTAAATCATACATATTTGGTGCAGCTTCCCCTGGGTATAGCCTGTGGTATGAGGTCCGGTCAACAGCATTGCCTTGTTCTAACTGCTTCAGACAATCTCTTACCCTCATCCTGTAACCACTACCTGGGTCTCTTTTTTAGGGGCTCATAAGTATTTTTGTCACTTAGCAGTGACAAAGTTTTCTTATCATAGTCCTTCTGGTTTAGCAAAGCCATGCACCAACTTTTGTCTGCCAGAAGGATGAAAATGTTGTTGTCATTACTAAGTGATGTGACTGCTTTCCTCTCCTTCATACTCATGTTGGATGCTCAGGGCTTTTCGTTGCTGAGACAGGCCGACATCCTCGGGGTGGCATCCTTGTCTCTTCTGGCCGCTGATGACACACTCTGTATTTTGCTGGTGTTTCTGTCACACAACAAGTTGGCCAAACGTCTGTTGACAAGTGTTTTCAGGTGTTTTAAGTACAAGTACCTAGCCATGCACTTTACCTTTACAAACATTTGTGAAAGAAATGGTTCTTCTAAAGAGCTGTCATTGCATACCACCAATGCAACAAGTCAGTTCCTGGAATTTCTTCCCTCTTAGATATTCCAGGATTAACTGTAAGTTGTATAATTGCAGAGTGGAAGCATTTAGCAACCTCAGCAATAAAGTGGCAGACGACATATACCGTATTTCCCGGACTACAAAGCGCACCTGAATATTAGCCGCACAAGCTAAAATCAGGGGAAAATCCTGTTTTGTACATACATTAGCCGCACCTGACCAAAAGCCGCAGGTGTTTCAATGTTGACTTATCATATGTAAGAGAATATGCACAAAGTGAATTGTCAGGAAAGAGATGGCTGTTTGGAGACACACCCCTTTTATTAATATTTTGAAAAACAAGTTATGGGTACATATTTGCACATGTAGTACATAACAATAACCTACAGCACACCAGAAAAATAGATTCGGACTACCTTTTAGGCTCAGGTGCAGTGACACGGCTTTAACAAGCAGAAAAGTCAGTCATTCACCACCATCTTCCTGCGCTCTAAAACCACCAAAGTCCTCTTCTACAGTGTCGGAAACGAACAGGCTCAGGGTGGCTTCGTCATCCACTCTCCGCTTCTCTCCTTCGTTGTCACTTTCAAAACCAAAGAAATCCTCGTTGTCAGAGTCGAACACCCTCAGAAGGGCCGTGGCGGTGTCCTCCTCTCCATCATGCAACAGTCCAGCCCTTCAAAATCCGTTGGTGATCGTGGATGTTTTCACACTTTTCCACGCTGTCAGAATCCACCGGTGGAGTTGGGCATAACTTGCTTTTTGCAAGTTTATCCCCGCTGGTCATCCACGACTCCCGCTGAACGCGTAGCGCTACTTTGAAGTTTGTTTTTCGCGCTACTTGTACGGCACTATATTGCCTGGCGGATGGACATGTGACCAACATACCACTCTTGAACCCCGATCCTTCCGCCAGGCAACGTAGTGCCGTACAACAGCGGAACAAACAAAACAAATCGTCTTACGATATCACAAAAATCATGGACAATCCATAGAAAAGCCGCACCTGACTAAAAGCCGCAGGGTTCAAAGCTTGTGCAAAAAGTAGCGGCTTATAGCCCGACAATTACGGTAGTTGCCGAGCAGCGTTGTTTATTGCTGAGGCACATGATACTTAATAGCCTCCAGTTACTCGATTGACTGAAGAGTTCAAATTCTCCTCTGGTGTTAATATCAGCGCAAACGTGTACACCTGGAGCATCATTGCCAAGACATTCCTGTAGGTGGGCCATTAGTTACCCAGTGCTTTTGTGTATGTAGTATAGTATGTGGTTAAACTGTATCTTCCTGTGTGTGTTTGAGCAAATTTGCTATCTGTGGCTCTGTTCTTTTAGTGTGTGCAATAGAGTTCCCTGATGTTCTGCGTGATTCACTGGAATTGCTCTACTTGAATGACAACCAGCTGGAATGTGTTCCCCAATCAGTCTGTGGTCTGCACAATCTCAATGAACTCTACCTCTCAAAGTAAGTTCCCCTGTCTGTCTGCCAACACCCACCTGTCCTTCCTCATATTTCACACTGTTGTTATTGATTCAATTTTTAAAAAGTTACAAACCTCAAAATTGTTTTTTTTGTTAACAATATATGGGATGTGCAGGTCAGACACTGCAGTTACAGACCAATTTTTGCGGGTGGTTTATCCTTCAAGCTCGGGTCCTCTACCAGAGGCCTGGGAGCTTGAGGGTCCTGCGCAGTATCTTAGCTGTTCCCAGGACTGCGCTCTTCTGGACAGAGATCTCCGATGTTATTCCCGGGATCTGCTGGAGCCACTCACCTAGCTTGGGAGTCACCGCACCTAGTGCTCCGATTACCACGGGGACCACTGTTACCTTCACCCTCCACATCCTCTCGAGCTCTTCTCTGAGCCCTTGGTATTTCTCCAGCTTCTCGTGTTCCTTCTTCCTGATGTTGGTGTCATTCGAAACCGCTACATCGATCACTACGGCCGTCTTCTTCTGTTTGTCTACCACCACTATGTCCGGTTGGTTAGCCACCACCGTAGTCAAAGGAGCTTGCAAAGAAAAGCGTCTGGACTTCTTTAAGTTGCTTGAAGACGTTTCACCTCTCATCCGAAATGCTTCTTCAGTTCTAAGGTCAAATGGTGGAGAGTCCCAGATATAAACCTAGTGGGAGTTTCCCCCCACAGAGGGACAAAAGGACCCCCTGATGATCCTCTAATCGCCTGAGCCAAGGTGTGAAACTGGCCGTGGGTCCCAATCAGCCAGAGTTTCGGGTGTGTTCATTGTGAAACCTGGCCCCACCTTATCATGCGAATTCCTGAGGTCAGATGGCCCAGGATGTGAGTGGGCGTTAAGGCGTCTGGGAGGGATCTCAAAACTGGATTATAGATGGCAGAGAGTTGGTGTCGTAAACCCCCGCCTCTGTTCAAAGATGGTCGCTCACAGTGCACATAGATGCTTCTTTCACTCCTCTTTCAAACCATCTGTCCTCTCTGTCCAAAATGTGAGCATTGGCATCCTCGAAAGAGTGACCTTTATCCTTAAGATGCAGATGGACTGCTGAGTCTTGTCCTGTGGAGGTGGCTCTTCTGTGTTGTGCCATGCGCTTGTGAAGTGGCTGATTGGTCTCTCCAATGTAGAGGTCTGAGCATTCCTCGCTGCACTGTACAGCATACACCACATTGTTAAGTCTGTGTTTTGGCGTTTTGTCTTTTGGGTGAACCAGTTTCTGTTCTGGTTGCTGGGTCTGAAATACAGTGTTTCTCAGACACTCACATCCTGGGCCATTTTCCCTCAGGAATTCGCATAAGGTGGGGCCAGGTTTCACAATGAACACACCCGAAACTCTGGCTGATTGGGACCCACGCCCAGTTACACACCTTGGCTCAGGCGATTAGAGGATCATCAGGGGGTCCTTTTGTCCCTCTGTGGGGGGTTTCTCCCACTAGGTTTATATCTGGGACTCTCCACCATTTGACCTTAGAACTGAAGCAGCTTCTCGGATGAGAGGTGAAACGTCTTCAAGCAACTTAAAGAAGTCCAGACGCTTTTCTTTGACTACGATGACCTGGATGACTGAGAACCTTCACAGACATTTAGCCACCACCATTTTGTCCGTCTGTATCTGGAAGTCCCACAGGATCTTAGCTCGGTCATTCTCCACCACCCTTGGGGGCATCTCCCATTTTGACCTCGGGACTTCCAGGTTATACTCGGCACAGATGTTCCTATACACTATGCCGGCCACTTGGTTATGGCGTTCCATGTATGCCCTGCCTGCTATCATCTTGCACCCTGCTGTTATGTGCTGGATTGTCTCTGGGGCATCTTTACACAGCCTGCACCTGGGGTCTTGCCTGGTGTGATAGACCCCAGCCTCTATGGATCTTGTGCTCAGAACTTGTTCTTGTGCTGCCATGATTAGTGCCTCTGTGCTGTCTTTCAGTCCAGCTTTGTCCAGCCACTGGTAGGATTTCTGGATATCAGCCACCTCCTCTATCTGCCGGTGGTACATACCGTGCAGGGGCCTGTCCTTCCATGATGGTTCCTCGTCTCCCTCCTCTTTCTTGGGTTTCTGCTGCCTGAGGTATTCACTGAGCACTCGGTCAGTTGGGGCCATCTTCCCAATGTATTCTTGGATGTTCGTTGTCTCATCCTGGACTGTGGTGCTGACACTCACCAGTCCCCGGCCCCCTTCCTTCCGGTTAGCGTACAGCCTCAGGGTGCTGGACTTGGGGTGAAACCCTCCATGCATGGTAAGGAGCTTTCTTGTCTTTATGTCAGTGGCTTCTATCTCCTCCTTTGGCCAGCCTATTACCCCAGCAGGGTACCTGATCACGGGCAGGGCGTACGTGTTGATGGCCCGGATCTTGTTCTTACCGTTCAGCTGACTCCTCAGGACTTGCCTGACCCTCTGCAGGTACTTGGTGGTTGCAGCTTTTCTAGCGGCCTCTTCATGGTTCCCATTCGCCTGCGGGATCCCCAGGTACTTGTAACTGTCCTCTATGTCTGCAATGTTGCCTTCTGGTAGTTCAATCCCCTCAGTTCTGACTACCTTCCCTCTCTTTGTTACCATCCGACTACACTTCTCCAGTCCGAACGACATTCCAATGTCATTGCTGTATAGCCTGGTAGTGTGGATCAGTGAATCGATGTCTCATTCACTCTTGGCATACAGCTTGATGTCATCCATGTACAGGAGGTGGCTGACAACTGCTCCGTTCCGTAGTCGGTATCCGTAGCCAGTCTTGTTAATGATCTCACTGAGGGGGTTCAGGCCTATGCAGAACAGCAGTGGGGACAGAGCATCTCCTTGGTAGATCCCGCACTTGATGGTGACTTGTGCTATGGGCTTGGAGTTGGCCTCTAGTGTTGTACGCCACATCCCCATTGAGTTCCTGATGAAGGCTCTTAGGGTCCCATTGATCTTGTACAATTCTAGGCATTCCAGGATCCAGCTGTGGGGCATTGAGTCATAGGCCTTCTTGTAATCAATCCAGGCAGTACACAGGTTGGTCAGTCTGGTCTTGCAGTCTCGGCTGACTGTTCTGTCTACCAGTAGCTGGTGTTTTGCGCCTCTGGTATTCTTGCCAATTCCTTTCTGTGTCCCGCTCATGCATTGACCCATGTGCCTGTTCATCTTAACCGATATGATGCCTGACAGGAGCTTCCATGTAGTACTGAGGCAGGTTATTGGTCGGTAGTTGGAGGGGACCGGTCCCTTCTTGGGGTCCTTGGGGATCAGGACCGTCCGACCTTCGGTTAGCCATTCCGGTGTCTCTCGTCAACTAGCAGCTGGTTCATTTGTGCTGCCAGACGCTCGTGGAGTGCAGTCAGCTTCTTCAGCCAGTAGGCGTGAACCATGTCGGGCCCTGTTGCTGTCCAACTCTTCATACTGGAGACCCTTTCTTGGATATCTGCCACTGTGATGGTTACTGACCCTGTTCAGGGAGGTCGCTGTGGTCTGCCCTCAGATCCACTAGCCACTGAGCATTGCCGTTATGGGTTGCGTCCTTCTCCCATATGCTCTTCCAGTATTGCTCCGTCTCCAGCCTTGGTGGTGCTGTTCTCTTATTGTTCCCTTGCCACTGGGAGTACACCTTTGCTGGTTCTGTGGAGAACAGCTGGTTTATTTTCCTGCCTTCTATCTCTCTGGTGTACCTCCTCAAGCGGCTGGCCAAGGCTGTGAGTCTTTGCTTGGCAGTTTCCAAGGCCTCAGGTATGGACAGCTTGCTGTATTTCTTAGGCACCTTATTTGTCGCACCTTTCTGCAACTCCGTTAGTTGGCTAACCTCCCTCCGTGCTACTTTGATCTTGCCCTCTAGCCTCCTTCTCCATGGAGGGTACTGCCCCTTGTCGCTGTTCAACTTGTAGCCAAGCATCTCACTGATCACTGCTGCCGTATTGTAGATCAGCTTGTTAGTGTCGGTAATCGTGGTTGTAGGTATTGTCCGTAGTGCTGCATTAACATCATCTAGCAGACCTTCTGAGGGTACTTCACGTAATCTTGGTAACCGGCTACGGGGGATCCAGGTTTCAAGCTTGGCCATGATCCTATCTTTCAGGTCAGTTCCTCTCGCACTCAACGATCCTTCTCCTATCGCACTTGGGGCTATGTACCCAATCTCGGGTGGGGGTGATGATATCTCCCCCCTGACCTGGCGTCCTGACTCCTCCTTGCCGTAGCATTTGTGTTGCCCTCTTTTTGCTCCACACATGAATCCAGTTCTCCTCCTACAGCTGTTTCTAGTTGTTTCATCCAAACAGCAAATTTCTCAATGTCATTTATTCTGAAGAATGTTTTTTCTATATATTTGGACTTTCACAGGGGGATTCAGTGGCCCATTAGGTTCTATCGTTGATGTTTCTCATCTATCTATCTACACATTTATATATGTATACATGTGTATATATATGTGTGTGTATATGACTAATCTGACTAATGTAGTTTCTCTGGAATCAGTAATCCTGGAATCCGGGAGCTTCCAACAGAGCTTGGTCAGCTCTCCAGTCTGTGGCAGCTGGACATCGAAGACCTCAACATTACTAATGTTCCACATGAAATAAGAAAAGAAGGTATTTCCACCTGCATTTTCTGTTCAATGACTGTGCCTAATCGAGGGGTTTGTATGTGCCGGCTTCTTTTTTTGGTTTATAGTCTGTTGTTCATAACATTTATATTGGTTCTTACCTCATCATATATTGCCTTACAAACACATGCAAGGAGTAAAAATTCAAAATTACTTTTTTAAAAAATGTACATGAACAATTAAAAAAGTTAGCATAAGTTCTAAGCATTGCATTTAAAAGTAAATTGAAGTGTGCTGGGTTTGTTACCAGCTGTTATTTCCTGTCATTGTGAGATGTGATCATATTCTCTAACGCTGGTATCGCAGGTCCTGCATCGGTCCTGGCTTTCCTCCGGGCACAGCTTCGAAAAGCAGAGCGTTGTAAACTGTTAAAGATGCTGGTGATTGGTCCACCACGGCAGGGCAAGTCAGCCCTCCTTGAGGCTCTGCAGACTGGCAAAGCCTCCCCCTTCACCCCAGCAGAATGTAGCATCTCCACCTCTGTCTGGGAGCTGGATAAACCTAGTGGAGGCAAGAACAAAGTGAGGGAAACAGACATTACGTAGTATTTATGCACGCACACACAGATATTTCTATTAATCATTTTATGACCCTTATATGGTCTAAATTTTAGAGATAAAAAAATCTACACATTGCACTGCAACTACTCGATTACACTCTTAAGCAAGGACAAACATCTCTCCACTCAAAGTCAGTTTGCATCTTTGTGGAGAAGGATTCATACTGTGCTATGATTAGCTTAAACACTACCATGAAAGAAAATCATTTCTGACATGACAAGAAATTCTTTGGACTGTTAAACCAAAGGGGTTGGGGTGGGTACAAAAATACATCATCACCTATTCTCAAATTCAGTTCATGCTTTAAAGTTGACCTAGCTCTCATTTTGCTGCCCACAGAAAGACTCTGTGATTTTCAATGTGTGGGACATTGGTGGTCAGGCCAGCATGTCCACAGTGAATCAGTGTTTCTTTACTGATAAGGCTTTGTATGTGGTCATCTGGAACCTTGCAATGGGAGAGGAAGCTGTGGCCAACCTGCAGACATGGCTGCTCAACATAGAGGTAATTTTTTTCTTTATTGCAATAGTGAGAGATATGACAATTCACACAGGATGTTTAGGCTGGAGGCGCATGAGGGAGATTTGTGTAAAAGTGTGGATGTCATAGAGCAGCAATATGTAGGAACATGTGTAATCTCTGCTGAGCATGGCGTGGAAGTCCAGAGGTCGAAATTAGATACCCCTCCGAGGGTAGCTGAGAATAACCAGACTAAGATTCTGTGGGACTTGCAGATCCAGATGGGCAAACTGGTGATGGCTAACCAACCGGACATAGTAGTAGTGGTGGACAAGCAGAGGAAGAAGGGTGTAGTAATAGATATAATAGCTATACCACGTGATAGCAACAGCAGGAAGAAGGAACATAAGGGCTGAGAGAGGAGCTCGAGAAGATGTAGAGGTGAAGGCAACCGTGGTAGTCGGCACACTCAGGGCCGTGACCTCCTAACTGGGCAAGTGGATCCCCTGGTGAGATCCTCCCCATTTTTATTTTCTAAAAGACTCAAGTCGTTGGGTATAAGAACCTGATGAGCTTTCTGTAATAAAAATATGTGTGTGGTAAGAGTGAGTGGAAGGTGTTCCGGTTTAAAGAAACAGAATTTTGTTCTTTGACTAAATAAACGAGCCACATGGCAGTCGTGTTAATGGAAAGAATGTTGCTTCCATCACTTCTGAAATTGTCTTTTGAAGGATAGTCTCTAATTAGGCTTCCTGGATTTTTTCTGTTTGTTTTTTTTGACCACAGTGAAATGTTTTCCAAGTTCTTTGTCTTTTGAGTTTTAGCTATAAAAAAGAAGAACAGAAACTTTACTCCAGACAGACGTGTCAGTCAATGTAAGTCTGTCAGACTAGTGACCCCAGCAACAGCAGAGCTGCGTATGGTGTGTTGATTCCAGGTTTAGTTAGAGCCCAAGATCTTTAACAAATGTATGTGGCTTGGTGGATGAATTGATCTTATATAATAAACTGACATCTACCATGAAAAAAAAATCCAGTAGTAGTGATTATTGATATTAAACTAATAGAATAGATACACCTGTGACACATCGGTATTCATTCTCTGTTTTACAAATCAAATCTTCAGGTTATTTTGTCATTTTTATGCTGTCAGTTATTATGTCTTTGCTTGTGTGCTGTATTCTACAGGCTCGGGCCCCTAACTCTGCAGTGATTGTAGTGGGAACACATCTGGATCTTATTGATACCAAGTTTCGTACGGAGAGACTGGCGACACTGAGGGCTTACGTTTTGGCTCTGTGTCGATCCCCATCAGGGACTCGAGCTGCTGGTTACCCTGATATCACCTACAAACACTTGCAGTAAGTACACATTTAACTTTTCTATTGCTTATTAACATTCGACTTCCATGCCAATATTGTTTTTGCTCTGTTTACTTCGTGCAAATTACAGACCATCTTACAGATCATCTCTTTTCGGAGTATTTATTCTTTTGTGTGTTTGTATACGCGTGCGTGCTTTTCTTGGTTTTCAGTGAAGTGTCCTGTAAAACTCTGGAGGGATTTGATGGTCTAAAGATGCTGATCTACCAAGTGGTTCTCTCCATGAAAGATAACAGCAGCTTAGCCTGTGGTGGCAAACTGCTAGGCAGACTGGTAAGCAAGCTAATGGTAAATGGCCTGTATTTATATAGCGCTTTACACATCCAGTCATCCACCCATTCACACACACATCCACACACTGGTGATGGCAGCTACGTTGCAGCCACAGCCACCCTGGGGCGCACTGACAGAGCGAGGCTGCCGGACACTGGCGCCACCGGGCCCTCTGACCACCACCAGCAGGCAACGGGTGAAGTGTCTTGCCCAAGGACCCAACGACTGAGACTGTCCGAACCGGGGCTCGAACCGGCGCTCGAACCGGCAACCTTCCAATTACAAGGCGAACTCCCAACTCTTGAGCCACGATCAATTATAATCATGTACATGCAGAGACAGTGTTGCACTTTGACCCTTCAGAAATAGTGTTTGCTTTCTGTATAAATGTATAAAGTGTTTTTAAGAGTTATTTTAAATGACCTAGCAGTGGGAGACTGATATAGTAATCTTTATAACCATGTGTTTTGTCAGCAAACTCTATGCAGAAGTTTTAATTATTTATTCACTTATAATAAACATTATCTCCCAACCTTAAGCGCAAGTTCTTGTGAGTGCGATAACCGGTGAAGGAAGTCACCTAGAATTTTCAAATTGATACCATCGTTGTGTCTACTAGGAGACTGAGGGGGTAGCACAGGTGGTGCCAGTATTGTATACTGTGGGGCAAAAAAGTATTTAGTCAGCCACCGATTGTGCAAGTTCCCCCACCTAAAATGATGACAGAGGTCAGTAATTTGCACCAGAGGTACACTTCAACTGTGAGAGACAGAATGTGGAAAAAAAAAATCCATGAATCCACATGGTAGGATTTGTAAAGAATTTATTCGTAAATCAGGGTGGAAAATAAGTATTTGGTCACCTCAAACAAGGAAAATCTCTGGCTCTCACAGACCTGTAACGTCTTCTGTAAGAAGCTTTTCTGTCCCCCACTCGTTACCTGTATGAATGGCACCTGTTTGAACTCATCATCTGTATAAAAGACACCTGTCCACAGCCTCAAACAGTCAGACTCCAAACTCCGCCATGGCCAAGACCAAAGAGCTTTCGAAGGACACCAGGAAAAGTATTGTAGACCTGCACCAGACTGGGAAGAGTGAATCTACAATAGGCAAGCAGCTTGGTGTGAGAAAATCAACTGTGGGAGCAATCATCAGAAAATGGAAGACATACAAGACCACTGATAATCTCCCTCGATCTGGGGCTCCACGCAAGATCTCATCCCGTGGGGTCAAAATGATCATGAGAACGGTGAGCAAAGATCCCAGAACCACACGGGGGGACCTGGTGAATGACCTGCAGAGAGCTGGGACCAAAGTAACAAAGGTCACCATCAGTAACACACTACAACGGCAGGGAATCAAATCCCGCAGTGCCAGACGTGTTCCGCTGCTGAAGCCAGTGCATGTCCAGGCCCGTCTGAAGTTTGCCAGAGAGCACATGGATGATACAGCAGAGGATTGGGAGAATGTCATGTGGTCAGATGAAACCAAAGTAGAACTTTTTGGTATAAACTCAACTCGTCGTGTTTGGAGGAAGAAGAATACTGAGTTGCATCCCAAGAACACCATACCTACTGTGAAGCATGGGGGTGGAAACATCATGCTATGGGGCTGTTTTTCTGCCAAGGGGACAGGACGACTGATCCGTGTTAAGGACAGAATGAATGGGGCCATGTATCGTGAGATTTTGAGCCAAAACCTCCTTCCATCAGTGAGAACTTTGAAGATGAAACGAGGCTGGGTCTTCCAACATGACAATGATCCAAAACACACCGCCCGGGCAACAAAGGAGTGGCTCCGTAAGAAGCATTTGAAAGTCCTGGAGTGGCCTAGCCAGTCTCCAGACCTCAACCCCATAGAAAATCTGTGGCGGGAGTTGAAAGTCCGTGTTGCTCGGCGACAGCCCCAAAACATCACTGCTCTCGAGAAGATCTGCATGGAGGAATGGGCCAAAATACCAGCTACTGTGTGTGCAAACCTGGTAAAGACCTATAGTAAACGTTTGACCTCTGTTATTGCCAACAAAGGTTATGTTACAAAGTATTGAGTTGTATTTTTGTTATTGACCAAATACTTATTTTCCACCCTGATTTACCAATAAATTCTTTACAAATCCTACCATGTGGATTCATGGATTTTTTTTTTCACATTCTGTCTCTCACAGTTGAAGTGTACCTCTGGTGCAAATTACTGACCTCTGTCATCATTTTAAGTGGGGGAACTTGCACAATCGGTGGCTGACTAAATACTTTTTTGCCCTACTGTAAATACAGGCCTCTGTATAAACTTTTTATGACAATTTTAAAGTGATAGCATAGGGTTCTTATTTTACTTGAAAGCAAAGTAAATTTGTACCACTGTTGTCTCCTCCAGATTCCCAGAAGCTACCTGGCACTCCAGGAAATAGTCATAGCCGAGAAGGAGAGGCGACATTCCGAAGGAGAGGTCCAGTACCTAACTGATGCACAGCTAAATGACATCATTGAACAAAACCCAGGAAGTGACATCAGAGATTACGAAGACCTGCAGACTGGTATTATGACAGCAAGCATTTGAAATGTGGAAATCATTTATGAAAATTCGTACATTTACATTCTTTATTTGGGACATTTTTCCATGTAATGTGATGAGCCAATACAGAGTCACCAGTCAGTGAGTGGGTGGAAGGTGTCTCCTCAAAGCCATTGAATAAAGTCAGCCAACAACAGTGAACATAACAGCTGTGTACATTACCATATCAATGTTTTTGGTAACATCTCCTAACATTAAGTTGCCACTTAAAGAGATTCCAAAGAAGTACTCCGTTTTAATGTACAAAACAAAGCCTTATATATTTTTCTGTGTGCATAAAACTAGAGATAATCCAGTTTATTTACATGGACACTTTGCTGCCACAACATTGGAAACAACTTTATTTATTTGTTTATTGAACCTTTTGACAAATGTAAAAAATAGATTAAATATTTTTGCACATATGAGTTTAAATTTGTATCATATTTGTTACCGCCAGCATTTTTTACAATTGATTTCTTGTTTTAAGGAGCAGAAAAATGACAATGATCATGTAGAGGTCTCAAAAACTTGTATCAAATATGATACACATACAGGATTATGCATTTAAGCAAGTGTCTATGAGGACGCCTTTGCTTTTAGAGCAAACCTCCAGAATCAATTAGCTCCTCAGTCCTTGAGTTCATTTTCACTGCTTTGTTGGTTTAAGAAAAATATGATTGTTTGGAACTTGTAACTTAGAAACTATGATCCTTAAGTGTGGTGTATGTTGTCAACATATAGAAGTACTGTATAAAGCTTTGAAATGTCACATTTGACCTTTTCAAGGACCGTACGTTATTCAGAAAGTCAAAGTGAGAATAATGCTATGCATAGATGCACAGAAACAGTTTCTTACTGCCATTGTTTGTACATATTGTACATATTTGAACATATTGGGATGTAGGGAAGACTAAATGGAGATTCTTATTATACGTAGATTTTATTTGATATTTTTTACCTTGGTCAAACTTTCATTAATTCTACTGCCTTTGCTTTCATTGGCAACATTTAGGAAACTCAGTTCTATTTGGTTTTATTTATATCGTGCCATATCACAACAGCAGTTGTCTCACTGTGCTTTATATGGTTACATAAAGACAACAATGCAGAGAAAATCCCCAACACTTGAGGACAAAGACCCAGACAGAGTTTTAATTTATTTTAAAGCCTGATGCTCAAAAACCTGTTTTATTTGTTCTCATCAGTCGTCCGCCTGGGCCTTACTTAGAATGTCTCAGACTTTTTATCTGATTTAGTGCTCAGCTAAGATGCTTTTAAGGTGATTTTAACATCCATGAACATACTAAAATGTTCAGTTTCTATCTCAATGTCAGAACAAGATCTAGAACGTGATTAAAGTGGGTGGATTGTGAGTCTTTACCAGTAGGCAATACAGAGCTTAGATGGAGCCGATGGGTGAGGGGATTAGCTCAGTACCAACTACCTGGAAACCTTCCAGGTGTCTTCCCTGCCTCTGCAGATAGAACAGCCACACCTGTTAACAGCAGCTCCCCTCTAGATCAGTGCACTTAGTAACTAGTTGGGTTCAATTTAGTGGTTTGGAAAACGGAGCCCCAAGGGTCTAATACTTTCAAACAGCTGGAGTAACCTGTGAGAGCTGTTCATACTAATGTAGATTTTCATGTTTTTACCCTTACTGTTAAAGTGTGCTCAACTCTTTGGCTGATTAATAAGCTGGAGTGGAAGATTGCTGCCCCTTGTGCTCACTTCTGTGTGTTGGTGGTCTGGGAGCAGACACAGTGTCTATGGGGATGTGGTTTGGGGGTGTTACTGGTTCACTATAAATATCACATTCAAGCTTGCATCCCAATATAATGTGACCTCTAATCTTATTTTTACATTTCACATCTGCCTCCTTTCAAGTTGACTCAACAGGTCTTTAAAGAAAGTCTTAAAGGGAGATTTAATGAGCTGCCTAGTTCGTTAGAGATACACTGTAGTATAACGTTATATAGCAGTCTAGGCAGAGGTTTCCACTCTAAATGCTGCTTATTTGTGAAGCATCACCACATCGATGTGTTATTTCTTCATTGTTTCTTTCTTTTTCTCCTTTCTTCCCGACAACCAGCGATCGGTTTCTTGATAGAAACTGGAACCTTGCTCCACTTTCCTGACACCAGCCATGGGCTTTGCACTCTCTACTTCCTATGTCCCGTGTGGCTGTCGGAATGCTTGGAGAGGATCGTACACCTCAAATCCTCTCGATATATAGCAAGAAATGGAGTGATCCAAACTGAAGACCTCAGGGTGAGACTTGCCTTTCTGTTGTTTTGTGTGTTGAAACTGGTGTTTTGAAGTCATATCTATTGTGGTATCTGTTGTGCAGATGCTTTTGGTAGGAACAGGGTTCACACAGCAGACAGAGGAACAGTATTTCCAATTTCTGGCCAAGTTTGAGATTGCCCTGCCTGTGGCCAACAACAGGTAATTTCTTCTCTCTCTCTTTGCAGTAGTTACTCATTACAGGTCCTAAACAGCTCTGAGGAAACATTGTCAAATGGGCAGCAGGAGGATTGTATGATATACAACTTAAAATTATTATCCTCCTAGGACCTGCGTCCACATATGTGGACATCGGATTTTGGGTTGCCTAGACCAAAACACTAAATTTTGCTCTACAAGGGCCTGATATCCACTTACGAGGACGTTATACTACCACTGTCGTATCGTAATTTAAAGCTATTGTCCTCTTATGTGGATCTCATTTTTCTTCAAAACAAAAATCAGGTTAAAAAAAATCACATAATTCTTTGTTTTTACATTCATCAGGTTGCAACCAGAGAAATTAGAAAAGCTGCCATGAAAGAGTTCAGGTCTCAGGAGGTTAAAGGAAGATAAAGCAACTTGTGATGTGATTGACAAGTTGCTCCTCTATGAGAGTGCAGTGTGTCTCAGTACATTCTCATACACCGGGAATATTTGTTTTCCTTTTGACCTCTTACAGCTATCTGCTGCCCCATCTACTTCCCCCTAAGCCAGCCCTGGACATTCATGGCTTCCGCCAGCAGACCCACAACACCCTCAAACGCCTTTTCAAGATGAGCTTCGTTCCTGCTGGATTTTGGGAGCGTTTCATTGCCAGGATGCTTATAAGCCTCCAAGAAATGGACATGCAGGTAGTTTCTCTTCATTCTCCAATTTTAATTGAGAGTTTTTCACTTTCGTGGCCTAAAATGTTGCATCTATGCAGTCATTTGAAAGCAAAATAAAAAGCACCAGGAGCCGGCACAGCAGGAATTCTGTGATCTACAGCTTTACCGGATCACAACAGAGGAGCCGCTGTAGCACCTTTAGAGTCCGACGCAGCCAGACTATCTACTGGAAGGAAGGACTTCTCGTCACTTTCGATGGAGGTTACCTCAGGTAAGAGCTGGAGCCAGAAGATATGGTCATTCAAATATTCATTAGACAAATAATTAAGATTGGACGTACATGGTGGGAATTTTAAGGGCGTCGACCTTTTGCTGTAGTTTCTGAAATGATTCATTTGTAAACTCGGAAGTTCAAAGACAAATGTTTTATCAAATTTCTTTAACAATTACTGATATTATAGTCATCTCTATTATCATGCTTCTGTGTTATTGTCAATGTTCAGTGTTTTTTTATTATTGTTATTTATAGCTGAGATTGTGTTCATATGTATCACAGTACGTCTGAGTGCTTTTAATAATCAAAGCAAGTGGAAAATAAGACTACACGCTGAAGGGATGTAAACATTTTCTGTTTAAAGAAACTCTGAAATGTGAGCCACTACTTTCATAAACATTGGCCTAAAATGGAGAATGTGCAAAGGACGAATATTCCAGCTTTGATGCTGATTTTGAGCAGTGAGACATGGAAAAGCCAGCGCCTCGTCTTCTCTGCTATTTGAATATCCTTTGAGTTGATGCAGATACTTGTTTATGTCTGTGCAGTGTGGAGTCATCGGATGTTAACTGGAAGAGGAAGAAGAGTGGAGGCATAAAAATTATCTGTCAGTCAGAGACCAGGGATTTCTCTGCTATGGCGTTCATCACAGACCATGTCAACTCTCTGATAGAGCAGTGGTTCCCAGGTCAGTACACTACGTGCTTTTTTGCAGTACCCTAGCAGAGCATCAGCTCACAGTATGTGAATCCCCTGTATCAAGCTGTACCTGGTAGCATTGAAAATACCCACTGAAAAAGGTCTGGGAGGTCTGGATTCACTTGGCTCGCTTGGGCACAGCCTGAGGAAATGATATGAATCCGCTTCCCCGTAGGCCCACCACTTGGGAAGGGTGGGGGCAGACATTAGGGTTGGGTATATTGTATGCTGGGTGGCAGACAAAGTTGAGGGTGGGGGTATGTTAACCATGCTCTAAGCTAATGGAGAAGGAATCTGAGCTAATATAGGAGGTGGAGCAATGCCACCTGGATATAGTTCAACTTTCTTTCACAGATATAGTATCATAGTAGACTGCTGTGGATCCAGTGTTAGTTGGGATACATCAAAGTGTGACTGGGTACATGAATGTTATAAAAGGGGTTTAGGTGGAGAATAAATATGCTGTATGAATGTATGTGATGGGTGAATGAGACGTGCTGTACGAGTTCTTTTATTTGCTTTTATCCAGGGGTCTTCAACCTGAAGTCAGTTATGGTAAATGGTAAATGGACTGTTTTTTTAGAGAGCTTTACTACTCTATTTGAGCACTCAGCTTTACACAACTTGGCTCATTCACTCATTCACACCCACTCATGAAACCTGAGTCTTCTAGTCTACATGTCGAAGTGTCTTTGGGCAAGACAGCAAAGTTGCCTTTGATGCATACATCGGGGTGTCAATTATTTTAGTCATCGAGCAGTCTATCAATTATTCCATAGATTAATCAAGTAATTGGATAAGAAACACTTTTGCCTTTTTCCGTCTATCCATCCATTCTCTTCCATTTATCCTTGTCATGGTCGCCGAGGGGCTGGAACCTATCGCAGCCACCATAAGGCAAGAGACCCTGCACAGGTCGCTAGTCTAACACATACAGGGAGTGCAGAATTATTAGGCAAGTTGTATCTTTGAGGAATAATTTTATTATTGAACAACAACCATGTTCTCAATGAACCCAAAAAACTCATTAATATCAAAGCTGAATGTTTTTGGAAGTAGTTTTTAGTTTGTTTTTAGTTTTAGCTATTTTAGGGGGATATCTGTGTGTGCAGGTGACTATTACTGTGCATAATTATTAGGCAACTTAACAAAAACAAATATATACCTATTTCAATTATTTCTTTTTACCAGTGACACCAATATAACATCTCCACATTCACAAATATACATTTCTGACATTCAAAAACAAAAACAAATCAGCGACCAATATAGCCACCTTTCTTTGCAAGGACACTCAAAAGCCTGCCATCCATGGATTCTGTCAGTGTTTTGATCTGTTCACCATCAACATTGCGTGCAGCAGCAACCACAGCCTCCCAGACACTGTTCAGAGAGGTGTACTGTTTTCCCTCCTTGTAAATCTCACATTTGATGATGGACCACAGGTTCTCAATGGGGTTCAGATCAGGTGAACAAGGTGGCCATGTCATTAGTTTTTCTTCTTTTATACCCTTTCTTGCCAGCCACGCTGTGGAGTACTTGGACGCGTGTGATGGAGCATTGTCCTGCATGAAAATCATGTTTTTCTTGAAGGATGCAGACTTCTTCCTGTACCACTGCTTGAAGAAGGTGTCTTCCAGAAACTGGCAGTAGGACTGGGAGTTGAGCTTGACTCCATCCTCAACCCGAAAAGGCCCCACAAGCTCATCTTTGATGATACCAGCCCAAACCAGTACTCCACCTCCACCTTGCTGGCGTCTGAGTGGGACTGGAGCTCTCTGCCCTTTACCAATCCAGCCACGGGCCCATCCATCTGGCCCATCAAGACTCACTCTCATTTCATCAGTCCATAAAACCTTAGAAAAACCAGTCTTGAGATATTTCTTGGCCCAGTCTTGACGTTTCAGCTTGTGTGTCTTGTTCAGTGGTGGTCGTCTTTCAGCCTTTCTTACCTTGGCCATGTCTCTGAGTATTGCACACCTTGTGCTTTTGGGCACTCCAGTGATGTTGCAGCTCTGAAATATGGCCAAACTGGTGGCAAGTGGCATCTTGGCAGCTGCACGCTTGACTTTTCTCAGTTCATGGGCAGTTATTTTGCGCCTTGGTTTTTCCACACGCTTCTTGCGACCCTGTTGACTATTTTGAATGAAACGCTTGATTGTTCGATGATCACGCTTCAGAAGCTTTGCAATTTTGAGACTGCTGCACCCCTCTGCAAGATATCTCACTATTTTTGACTTTTCTGAGCCTGTCAAGTCCTTCTTTTGACCCATTTTGCCAAAGGAAAGGACGTTGCCTAATAATTATGCACACCTGATATAGGGTGTTGATGTCATTAGACCACACCCCTTCTCATTACAGAGATGCACATCACCTAATATGCTTAATTGGTAGTAGGCTTTCGAGCCTATACAGCTTGGAGTAAGACAACATGCATGAAGAGGATGATGTGGACAAAATACTCATTTGACTAATAATTCTGCACTCCCTGTAGAGACAGACAACCACTCACACTCACATTCATGCAAACTCCACGCAGGAAGTCCCCGGCCAGGTGATGGAATCAAACTCAGGCAACAGTGCTAACTACTGTGCCACCGTGCTCCCCTTTTGTCTTTTTAAAGCGCCATAATAAATATTTAAAAGAGGAATGAGCTGTTCATTGGCTTCCATTTTAGAAACTGCAGTGACTGAAATTTTTACTGCATACTACATCTGTTCCCAAAAAATCTTTTATTGTATTCACGTGGCAAAATTTGTAATTTTAAATATAATGTTATATTTTCTTAAATATAGGCTTTCTGACATTAATAACAGGCAAGTTTTTGTGCTGCTGAAAACAAGACATTATGATGGTGTAGATGTTAATTAATATTAATAATGTCCAACCTAATAACTGTCAGTGGCTCAGTTTTACTGGCCCATGTGCATTATTGGCTTTTATTTTTTTATATTTTTAAATATTAATGCAATTTCATTGATCCAATATTTTATATTAATTCACTTTCAATCTGAAAATCTTACTAAAGCCTTGAAATGAACATGGTCTAGTCCATCTTATGTTCTGCTTAAGACTCAGCCCTGTTTGCTACACATATCGCTTCTATGTCAAATAGGACGGTTGCTGTCAGTATTCAGAAAGCTGTGTAATTTGAACATGGTCCATCTATCCATCCTCATCCGCTTTATCCGAGGCCGGGTCGCGGGGGCAGCAGCCCAAGCAGAGAAGCCCAGACCTCCCTCTCCCCAGCCACCTCCTCTAACTTATCCGGGGGAATACCAAGGCGTTCCCAGGCCAGCCGAGAGATATAATCTCTCCAGCGTGTCCTGGGTCTGCCCTGGGGTCTCCTCCTGGTGGGACATGCCTGGAACACCTCACCCAGGAGGCGCCCAGGGGGCATCCTTAGATGCACGGACCACCTCAGCTGGCTCCTTTCAATGTGGAGCAGCAGCTGCTCTACTCTGAGCCCCTCCCGGATGGCTGAACTTCTCACCCTATCTCTAAGGGAGAGGCCAGCCACCCTTCGGCGGAAGCTTGTATCGCGGATACAAGCTTCCGCCGCTTGTATCCACGATCTCGTTCTTTCGGTCACTACCCACAGCTCGTGGCCATAGGTGAGGGTAGGGACGTAGATCGACCGGTAAATTGAGAGCTTCGCTTTTACACTCAGCTCCCTCTTCACCACGACGGACCGGTGCAGCGTCCGCATTACTGCAGCCGCAGCCCCAATCCGCCTGTCGATCTCCGGCTCCCTTCTCCCATCACTCGTGAACAAGACCCCGAGATACTTGAACTCCTCCACTTGGGGCAGGAACTCGTCCCTGACCCGGAGTGGGCACTCCACCCAGAACCATGGCCTCAGATTTGGAGGTGCTGATCCTCATTCCCGCTGCTTCACACTCGGCTGCGAACCGCTCCAGTGCGAGCTGGAGGCCATCACCCGATGAAGCCAACAGAACCACATCATCTGCAAAAAGCAGAGATGAGATTCTGAGGCCACCAAAGCGAAAGCCCTCCGCCACTTGGCTGCGCCTAGAAATCCTGTCCATAAAAATTATGAACAGAACCGGAGACAAAGGGCAGCCCTGGCGGAGCCCATCACCCACCGGGAACGAGTCCGACTTATTGCCGGCAATGCGAACCAAGCTCTTGCAACGGTTGTATAGGGATCGAATGGCCCGTAGCAATGGGCCGAACACCCCATATTCCCGTAACACCTCCCACAGGACACCCCGAGGGACACGGTCGAATGCCTTCTCCAAGTCCACAAAACACATGTAGACTGGTCGGGCAAACTCCCATGCACCCTCAAGTATCCTCGAGAGGATAAAGAGCTGGTCCAGTGTTCCGCGACCAGGACGAAATTGTTCCTCCTGTATCCGAGGTTCGACTAGCGGACGAACTCTCCTTTCCAGCACCCTGGCATAGACTTTCCCAGGGAGGCTGAGGAGTGTGATCCCCCTGTAGTTTGAATACACCCTCCGGTCCCCCTTCTTAAAGATGGGGACCACCACCCTGGTCTGCCAGTCCAGGGGTACTGCCCCTGATCTCGACGCAACATTGTAGAGGCATGTCAACCAGGACAGCCCTACAACATTCAGAGCCTTCAGGAACTCTGGGCGGACCTCATCCACACCAGGGGCTCTGCCACCGAGGAGTTGTTTAACTGCCTCAGTGACCTCGCCCCTGGAAATTGGCGGGTCATCCCCCTCATCCCTCGGACTTTGAACATGGTATCAGATTAATTTAACAGTTCATCTGCATGTTTTAATCCAACTTCTGGAGGCTTACGGCAGACCTTTCACTATGTAAAACAAGCAGCGATGATGGAGCAGCTACAAAGTTTGCTTTCTTCACGTTAATGAATGAGTCACGCTCGCTTTTTCCCTGTAAAGTTTTTAGTGGTGAGCACAAGAACAGCGTTGCTTTTTTGGATGCTTGAAACATGTTTTCTTTATCTCAACGGGAGCTCACCATCTCAGTAACAGGTTCGCCTCTTTGCTCTTTGTCAGAACAGAGTGTTAGTGCCGCAGACTCCAGCTCCTCGTCAAACTGTGTGTGCCATGCTGATTGTCACTGGTTCTGCTGTGTTTTTCTTTTTCTTTCAAACTGGGAACTGCGTGGGCTTCATGTTGTCAAACTTTTCATTCATAGGCTGATCCTGAATATGTTTGTACATATGTACGTAATACGTTATCGCAAATGAAGATGAAAGGCTCGCATCTGCATGGTTTAACACATCGGTGTGCTACAGAGCCTTGTCTCAAGAATTTTTTGTAATCGAATTATTCAAATTACTTGTGTCAGTGCAGCCCCTTAAAGAGTAAAAGTGTTTTGTGAATCCATGTGTGAATGGATGAAAGTGCTTTCAGTACTCTGTGTTGTGCATCAACTCTGATTTTCAGCCCTCTGCTACATCTGTACATAAAGTGAACATACTTTTTTTTTACTTTCTTCTAGCTTTGACTGGCAGTGAAAGTGATGGGAGTCTTCTTGTAGAGCAGTATGCCCCTTGTTCTCTCTGTGCCTCCCTGGGCCAAAAGAATCAGGTTGAGTTCCCAGCCAATGAACACAGCAAGGATGGAGATGGTGTAAAATGTGAAGATGACAAAGGAAGAGAAGCAGGGGTCTATTATTTTAACATGGAGGACTGCGTACTGGCTGCAGTGGAGAAGGAACACATCGTGTGTCCTCTGCATCCCGATCAGCCAGTTCCTCTTCAAGAGCTGGTCCCAGAACTCTTCATGACTGACTTCCCTGCACGGTAAACTCTAAAATTTCATAGATTGTTTAGACTGAAACATATGAAATCTTACTCTGCTGGTTAATTGTGAGCTTGACTTTAAAGTTCCTCATCATTTAATTTCAAAGAAAAACATAGGCGTAAGGCAAGATAGCAGGACAGAAATCAAGGTCCGAGGGTAAAAGCCCTTCTTTAAGAAACTCTTAACTTTAATATGTTGTATGGTTAATATGTACACATAATAAATTATCATTTGTTTCTTTTTTTCTGGATGCCTTGTGAGCCAGATGTTTGATAGTAGTTTTGCATTATATAGTGTAGAATTCAAACCATATTTTGCTGGAGACACTAGAGAAAAACAACAAGAAAGTTGATTTTATTATTTTTGATGCTATAAGAATCAGAATCAGAATCAGAAACTTTATTGTCATTGTCATGAGAACAACGAAATTAAGAATGGTCCCCGATCATTGCATCATCCCTAGCAATATCAAAATATAAATAAAACAATAAAATTCAATAAATAAAATAGATAGAATACTAATAAGATATAACAGTAAAACATTCACATACATTCCCACACACATGCTTCAGACCGTGCATAGATTAACACAAGAGTGGCGTGATGGACATTTTTTTGTAGTATTCAGATGTGTTATTGCAGTTGGATAACAGCTGTGTTTGAGTCTATTAGTCCTTGCTCTGATTGCCTGATTTTCTAAGTTATAATTAGAATACCACCTAGAAACTCCAGCATTTGAATGGAAATAGCATTTTCTTCGTTTTTGTGATTATAAAGTGCTTGTAGTAAAATGTTCTACATGCTTTATTTTGCATTATAGTGAAATATGACTATACACCATTCAGAAATTGTCACTAGTTGCCTTTTGCTATATGAAGTCGTTTTATTATTACACTAATTGCAAGTGGGTTCTGCAGCAGGAAACGAATCACAACACACCAACACACTACCTCTAAATAGCTTAAGAAAAACAAAATGAACACTTTGGAGTGTCCTTGTCAAAGTCCTGACCTGAGTCTGATTGAGATGCTGTAGTATGACCTTCATGCTTGAAAACCTGTCAGTTTATCGCAAATGCTTGATTGGAGTTGTTTGTTCTAACAGTGGCCCAACAAGTTATTAGGTTTAGGGGGCAATCATTTTTTCACACAGGGCATATAGGTTTTTCTGCATGCAACATTGAAGCAGCTCAGAGCCTAAGAATTTCACTCATGTGCCATTGTTACTTATATATGACAAATAAACGAACAGGGCAACAGCTAGTGGTGCAAGCAGTGGGATTGTCTGGAAAGACGAGGCTTGTCATCACTGGAAACTATCTCAATGCAGAGAGCTATCGAGATGAGATTTTGGAATACGTGGCAATCCTATGGCACCACAGTCTGGAATCAAACTCCATCTTCCACAATGACAGCGTTCAACCAAGCAGAGCAAGTTTTATTAGAGACTACTACCAGAATTTGGGGGTGGAAAGGATGGAATGGCCTGCCTGCAGACATGACCTCAACCCCATTTAAAACTTGTAGGATCAGCCTGGGTGTGCTTGCTGTTCATACAGAGTGACCAACAACACCACACTGGCTGACTTGTGACAAATGCTGGTTGAATAATGGGATACCAGGTTGCTGTGGCCGTGTGGTTTTTCCATGTGCTACTGAGGCGCCTGTTTGAGGCGCCTGCCCTCCCTGGGGCCAGCTCCCCCACTGACCCCAGTAAGCACCCCCACACTCCGCAACCCGCCAGGGAACGGGGGCCCAGGCCCATCCGGACCGGGGCCCAGTTCAGCAGCGCCGCCCGGCCCCACAGAGCCCGGGACAGCCCACCCGACCCCACCACAGAGAAAACTGCACCCACCCCATCCACTCATCTTCCAGACTACACAAGACAATAGACGCCCAGGCTGAGATCTTCCTCCACCTCTCCTGTATCTCCCCCTCCTGCAGAGTGAGTTCCTGAAGAGAGGAGACCTCCTGCAAGATGTAACAACCTCCCCCACCAGTTGAAGAGCCCCCCAAGTGGCTCGATGCACCGGCGGCACCCTGCGCCAGGACTGGGCCCCCATACGCCCACCCGCCCACAACCCCGGCAACACACCAACCAGGACCCAAGCCCCCAAGGCCCAGCCAGGGCCCCAGCCCAGAGCCGGAGCGCCCCCAGAACCCCACGCCCATTCCGGACCCACCCAGGGGCAGCCAGGCTACCAGGTCAGTACCCCACGTCTGTCAGCACAGACCCTCCCCTAGCCCCGCTGCACGCAGCCGCGAGGAAACAGTCACCTAAGAGCCAACAGAGCCCTTAACAGGCCATGACCGCAACCCCGGGTTGAGCCCTCCAAGGAAGATGCTCCTGGGGAACCCCCCGACGCCCCAAGCCTGTCCCTACCCCCACACCAATCACAACAGCGAAGGTGGGACTAAACTATGTTTGAGCTGATAAATGGTAGGTTGAAATCTCTAGATTATTGCGAAGTGCTTGTTCTACATCTAGCCTTGGCTAGACACCCTAGACACCCTCTTAGACATCCTGAGATAAATTGAAGCCTGTTGGCTAAGAAGTAGTGCTGAAAGTTAGGCAGTTCTAGTCCTCCTTTATCCTTGGTCCTTTGTAGTGTTTTTAAGCTTATACGTGGGGGTTTATTTTTCCAAAGGAATTTGGACATACATGAATCTAGAGATCTGAACCAATCTTGTGGCGGTTTAGTTGGGATCATTGAGAATAAATAATTTATTTTTGGTAAGACCATCATTTTTATAGCAGCAACCCTTCCCATGAGTGATATGGGTAGACATTTCCATCTAGCCAGATCATCTTCTACCTTCTTTAAAAGTGGGATATGGTTTAATTTAGTTAGATCTGCAAGCTTGGGAGAAACATTAATACCTAAATATTTTATATTTCCCGATTGCAGTGGTGTAGAAGAGGAATTATGGAGGGAGCAATTAATCGGTAGGACTGTAGATTTTGACCAGTTAATTGAGTAATCTGATATTCTTGCAAAAGAGTTTATCAATTCAATCACCCCAGAGATATTGGTTTGTGAGTTTTGGAGAAAAAGTAACACATCATCTGCATAAAGGCTGATTTTATGTTCTATATTCTTGCATTTTATGCCCTTAATTACTGAATTCTGTCTAATTGCTGCTGCTAGTGGTTCAATAAAAATTGCAAACAGTGAAGGGGAGAGTGGGCATCCCTGCCTGGTGCCCCTCAAGAGACAGAAGCTGGAGGATGTTTGGTCATTTGTTCTAACACAAGCTGTTGGGGAATTATATAATATTTTTAACCAGTTTATGAAAGAGGATCCAAAACCAAATTTGTGTAAAGTTGCAAATAGAAATTTCCAGTTAACTCTGTCACACGCTTTTTCTGCATCTAAAGAAAATATTGTAGTTTCTAGGTTTTTACTGTATGAGTAGTCTATCAAATGAAGTAATCTACGTGTATTTGTTGATGAGTGCCTACCTTTTATGAAACCAGTCTGGTCAGGATGAATTAAGAGGGGGGTTATTTTCTCTAATCTCTTTGAGAGAGCTTTGCAGATTATTTTAAGGTCTACATTTACATATCCAAAGAAAATAGTTGGTAGAGTGAAAAGAAAGAAAACACAAATAGATCAAAAACAGTGTTAAAGTACAGGGTAAATGATGATCACACAAAGAAATGAATCGAAAGCCATCAGAACACAAAGATAGCAATCTGGTAAAGGACCTCTAATGCAGAGCACATCAATTATACGTATTCATACTTGTGAACTGTCAGTACACTATCGTCTGATTGCTTAAAATATTTAAAGCAATGAAGTGTCACATGTGTATTGAAATGTGCATTTGTAATAATACTGTTGTTAATAACAATAATTCTTCTCTGTAGTACTTTTCATGATGTCTTTCCATTATAACTCTAACATGATGTAACTGCACATATACTAAATGGATATATAGCTGTTATGTTTTTTACCCCCAAAGTGAGCACTGTCCTCAAAAATCCATTATTGTTTTGGTTTCATTTACTTTGTTTCCCAATTCTGTGTAAGGACTAAGGTAGGCTCAATGTGACATGAGACATGAGACTGATTATCCAGGTGAGACAGTGTACGAGCAAATGTCAGGTTTGGGACTTGATGATTAACAATTGTGTGTGTGTGTGTGTGTGTGTGTGTGTGTGTGTGTGTGTGTGTGTGTGTGTGTGTGTGTGTGTGTGTGTGTGTGTGTTAGGCTCTTTTTGGAGAAGTCCCAGCTGGAGTATTCTGAGGAGGAAAATGACATCCTTGGCCAGGGTGGCAGTGGGACCATTATCTATCGAGCCCGATATAGTAACCAGCCAGTAGCTATCAAACGCTTCCACTTCAAGAAGTGTCAACACCAGGCAATCAGCGAGACAGGTAGAGAAGCATTTCAGAGTTTTGAGTATATAGATTTTAACAAAATAAAAACATCTGAAATCTTACACTGAATATTTGGAAAGCAGATGATGGAAAATATTGCTGGACACCCCATGACATGATCCTGTCACAATACTTCACTCACGATAAAATGTTTTTGCCATTTTTAACACATTGTTTTGCTTCAAAATGGGATTTTCATGCATTGGTATTAGTGTTGGCATGAGACAGTTTTCTATCAGGCTGATGTCAGTCTGCAGCTGAATGGGCTGGTAAGTTGGCAATTACATGCAATTTTCTTCTGATAATACAGTAATTATCTGTGATCATTTCAGAGACAGAAGTTCACATTTAACTATTAAATTTGCACTCAGCAGCATACTTGCTTTATGGGAATGTAATCAAAATACAAACAGCTGACACCCAGTTAGTTGAGTAGGGATGGGTATCGTTTAGGTTTTATCCGATACCGGTACCAAACCGGTACTTTTGAAACAGTGCCGGTGCTCAAACGGTGCTCAAACCGGTGCTTAAAGAATGGAGAACACAAAATTGGTCCAAAAACCTCTCATGTTTAACTGTTTTCCACTTTTTCTTTGGTCATTTTAGCCTTTTTGGCCAGGGTGAAGGGAGTATCTACCATCAAACAAGAAGACAGCCGCATGTAGCTATGATGATGTTTGCTAGTTCACATTAATGTAATAACGTGGGTAGCCTACTCAACGTAAATCACACACGAACAACATTAAGCTACTCACGCAGAGAAGAACGGCTGCTGCTGCTGCATCATCATCATCATCATTTCTGCTACACTGGCAGGGCTAGGGGCCAGGACTCTCCTCTTCGTGTTTTTGGGGGATGTTGCTCCGGGTCGATAACAGGCAACCCACCCGCAGTAGATGTGCACGGTGTGAGGTCTCGCAGCAAGCTATCAAATACGGCGCATTTCTCGGCTTTTAAAAAAAACGCTATGCGTCGCCAGGTGTTTCATCGGATTCGAGGTGTTGCCTCCTTTGACAGTATCACAGTATCAGCTTAAAGCACTTGTTGCTGCTGAGTTTGCATCTTTTGCTGTGAAGTAGAGCCAGACTTTTGACCGCTTCGCCTTGGACATTTTTAATCTGTAGCTCTGCTCTAAAAGAACGTACGTACCTGGCCCCGCCTACTATCCTCGGAAACGTAAAATGATTGGCTAGAATCTAAAGTGTATCACAGGTCAGGAAAAAAAAGCACCGAAATGTGCGCTGCTTTTCGGTCTGGTTACTACCGTTTATGTCAGAACCGTACCGGTACCCATCCTTATAGTTGAGTCACTTTGAGTTATGCTAATTCAAAAAAACTCATAGAGATTGATCATGTTTGCCACCTGTCTGCCTTCTGTACAGAGCAGCTGTTTCATTTACCATTTAAATATGATCAACCTATCTCTAGTAACTGGCTATATACAACAGGCCCTTGAAGCTGGCGTAGTTTAGTGTACATGTATAAATGTGTATGTATACGTGGATGGTATATCTTAAGCTTCTCGTACTCCATCTTTCTGATGTTGCTACCACTTGGTATAACTGTATCTGTCACTGTGGTAGATCCCAGTGTTGCTCTTGTGCTTAGAGCTCTTTCCTGTGTTGCCATGATTAGTGCCTCTGTTCTGTCTTTCAGTCTCGCTTTGTCGCTGAGGGGCTTCAGGCCTATGTAGAATAACACTGGGGATATGCCATGTTTTTGGAAAATCTTGCTCTAGTGTACAGTGTTGTTTGCCACGTCCCCACTGAGTTCTTGATGAAGGCTCTCACGATTCTGTTGATCTTGTACAGTTCTTAGCATTCCAGGATCCATGTGTGAGGCACTGAGTTATAGGCTTTCTTTCATTCACTCATGGCTGTCCCATTGAAAATGACTGCTCTATCTACCAGTAGCTGGCATTTCCCCCTCTGGTCTTTATGCCAATTTTCTTCTGGGCCCTGTTCATGTTTTAAACCATGCTTGTTCATCTTAACCCTTATGATGTCTAACAGGAGTTTTCATGTTGTGCTGAGGCAGGTTATTTTCCAGTAATTAGATGGTACCAGTCCCTTTTGGGGATCCTTGGGGAAGAAGAAACTGTCCAGCCTTCAGTTGGGTGTTCTAGATGTGTCTCATCCATTAGCAGCTGGTTCATTTGTACTGCCAGACGCTCATGGAGTACAGTTAACTTCTTTAGCCAGTAGGTGTGACTCATGTCAGGCTGTGGTGCTGTCCTGCCATTCATGCTTGAGACTCTTTCCTGGATGTCTGCTACTCTGATGGGTACTGAATCCTGTTCAGGTCTCCCATATGCTTTTCCACCATTGCTTTTTTCCCTCCAGCCTTGGTGGGGTTGTTCACACCTTGTTCCCCTGCCACTACGAGCAGGAACTAGTGAAGAAAACTCTGATTTGTTCTCCTGGCTTCTGTTTCTTCAAATGGCTGTAAGTATTTGCTTGGCAGTTTCCAATGCCTCAGGATTAGGCAGCTTGCTGTATATCTTAGGCATCAGTTTCCTCATCAGGCATTTCTGCAGCTCCAATAGTTGGTTTCCCTCTGTGCCTAATCTCTTTCTCCATGGAGGGTACTGCTCTTGGTGGAGCCAAGCATTTCAGTGATCACTACCATGATCTACCATGGTGTAGATCAGCTGGTTGGTTTCAGTGATGGTAGGGATTCACATCTCGTAGTAGGACATCACGTGTCTGGGTAATCGGCCACGGAGGGACCAGGTTTCCTTGCTAGCCACGATCAGCTGCTCTCACCCTCAATGCTTTCAGCTGGATATTGGCTTTCTCTATTTTACCGTACTATTTAGTCATTTGACAAAATGTAAATTGCCAGTAAATGTAAATCAATTAACTTTGATGGTCCCTTGTCTTTCTGTCTTCATTGTCTTAGACACCATGGTGAAACACCTCCAGTCTGCAAATGCCTATCGGAGTTTTGCTGAGTTTCGCCAGGAATCCAGTACATTGCACTCTCTCCAGCATCCCTGCATTGTCTCGCTAGTGGGCATCAGCATTCATCCACTCTGCTTCGCCCTACAGTTAGCCCCCTTGGGTAGCCTCAACACAGTGTTGGAGGAAAAGCACAAAGGCAAAAGTACGCAGTGATCTGCACCTTCTGATTTGCCATTTGAAGTTGATTTTAAAACTTGCTCAATATTACTGAGATCTGAAAATATATCTTGTCTTTCTAGGCTTCAAGTACATGCCGCTTGGACACATGCTAACCTTCAAAGTAGCCTATCAGATTGCAGCAGGACTGGGATACCTTCACAGAAAGAGCATCATCTTCTGTGACCTCAAATCTGATAACATTCTGGTGTGGTCTCTGGAGGTCTGCAAAATGTTGTGTTTTTTAAGCATTCTAATTTACATGGTGTATCAAAAAGATTCATCCAAGTAATTTTTTTCTTTTTATCATTTTTTAAAAATCAGAATTAAGATGAGCTCTATAAATTCTATAAAGGCTCCTCTTGTTTCTGTGTTTCTCATTTCTTTTAGTGTTATTTCAGCTATTACATTATATGTGTTGTGTAACAATGTCTAAGCTGACAGGCAGGAGAAAAAGAAAAAAGGAAGGATGGCGAAAACACAATAAAAGGGTATCGTAGAAATGGAAAAGTACGACATATCACCAACTGCTGCACCTGTAAGAACAAAGCCTAAAACATTCCACACCTGCAACACTAAAACATGAAAATGCGCCGACACACAAATCAACAACTTCTTGTGGTGCGTGTGCTTCTGTGTATGCGTCATGAAATTTACTTAATAATGAGGGTGGGAAGCCGCAGATCCACGAGATTGAATTAGCCAATCAGCCAGTTTCAACAAGCTGTAATTCTGCAAGTATTCACAGGTAACGATCGTAACACGGACTGTTAGAAAGAGGGATTAGTGAGCTTCACGTGGTTGTGGGTCAGTTTTATAACAACAGCTGGTGTAGGACAGCGTATGTCATGAGCCCGTCAACATTGTGTGTATTGTAAAGCTTTATATTCAGCCATGTATTTAAAAATTTTAACTGCAAGCTTCTATGTCCATTACTTTAGAAATATGTAGCATTTTGAAATCAGACAATTCTTTTTGATACACCTGTTTTTGAAAGTGAAAGTTCTGAGCTAATTTATTTGCTCTCCCTTTATTAAAAATACTGTAAATAGAAAGCAAAACAGTAATTTCATGTTAAAAAACCAAAACAAAAAGAGAAAGCCTGTTTCTGTCATTTCATTTGGCTTTTTAATTCACTGATAACTTCTTCCAGGTGCAGGACACGGTCAATGTTAAACTGTCTGACTATGGGATCTCTCGACAATCCTTCCATGAGGGGGCTTTGGGAGTTGAAGGCACACCGGGCTACCAGGCTCCTGAGATCCGACCAGGCATCGTGTATGATGAGAAGGTATCTGCTTTTTTTTTTTAACCCACATTAGAAAAGTTTGTAACATTTTTTGGACTTTTGTGTGGTTTTGTTTTATGTTTTGTTTTTTTAAACCATTTTTTTAAAATGATGAGAATAAACATATCATCTCTATATAAACGGATATGTTGATATCCTGAATTTCCACATATACGTGTATGACCTGTACACAGCACCTATACATAGCACTGACCAATCATGTTTGAGCAGGCTTTGCAAGTAGAAAAAAACCAAGTGGAGAGTTAACAAGGAAAACATTAGTTGAAATGCTTCAAATCCAAGTGGTAATCGTCTGACAACAATGTGAGAGGCGAGATTTCAACTTTTCCGAAAATAACCTAGCATTTTCAAATTTCAAATCAAAAAGACCTTGATTTTTAAAAAGTCAAACTGGAGACGGCCAAACTAAACTCCAGATTAGTTATACAGTCTGTATAACTTAATAAAACTTTTGAATTATTTTTATAAGCATAAATTAACTAAACAGTGCAATTTCTAAATAAATTGTGGAAGGTTTGTTGCTATTGGTGGACTCTGTAACTTGGCCATGGTGCATTTAAAACGTTGGAGGTAACCTGTTAAAGTGAGATGGCTCAAAAACACATGAGCAACTATATTAATAGGCCACAAGTGTACTGTACCTGTGATACCAGCTACACTGTACCTAATAGAATTGCTTAAACTTGTGACCTCCAACATACAGGGGTGAGATAAGAGCATGCTCTCTATTCATATGAAATGGCACTTCATCACCCGAAAATGCCAAATATTTCAGGAATGGTAAGAAATGCTTAATTACTGCTGAATTGAAAACATTTGAGCTGGTTGTTATGAAGTAGGAACGGTCTATCTACGACAAACGTGGTGAGACTAACTAGCTACCGAAGAAGAGGAAAAATGTTAGAAGTTATTAACAGACAGGAGGTAAAATGTGTATTGAATGCATCACTACTTTTCCAAGTAAATATAATTCTAAAGGTGTTATTGACATGAAACTGTAACCAGATCAGTAACAACATTTAGACAAGTCAGTGACTGGGAGATATACTCTGGTCAGATCAAAATAAAATTGAACTCTTTGGATACTGTGATACACACCATGTTTGTAGGTCACAAGCTCTAATGCTTCACGTGTCTGAGCGAACACACAAACTGAGCGTCCCTTGGACCACTGTGAGCGACAGCAGACGTGTGCACTGTGGTCACGCCAGCATCCAAGCTACATGTTTATTAAAGTAATCAAATGACAGCATTTACATTTATGTTAGACGACTTTTAATGAACTGCTTTAGCTCACTTACAATGAAAATGTTAAAAAGTCTTGTTCGTGCCCTGTGTGGTATGTTAACACTATTGGAAGGAAAAATAACTTGAACTCCAATTTTGAAAACAAAACTTTATTTATTTATTTATTTATTTTAACTCTCTGTTAGCAAAATAAAGTATATAATGACCAATATTGGGCAAATAATTATATAATTACTGCTTCAAAAAAATTAACATAAAGTTCTAAATAAATTCTAACTGCATTTAGGACGTTTTTTACTGACTTTGTCTCTTCCACGATGTTATTTCTCTCGCCAACAACGTAGGTTACAATTACATTAGCATGACCAATTAGGCGATGACGTCATTTAGCGACTTTTAGGACAGCCAATAGCGATTTTCCTTACTGAGGAGCTGGTAACACTGGGAGGAGAGTGCTTTCGAGTGTTTTTACCGTTTCTTCCCGCAGTAAATATAAACAATGACAGTATTCAGGAAAAAAACAAACACTGCAGATATTTTTTATCATAACTCGTGTTGATCGGCTGCGTAAAACCAAATTTAAAAACTGTTATATCTTATAGTTTTTAAATTGTGGTATAGTCCACACTTTTTCCATCAATTGTTAGCTGCGTATATACGAATGTGAATCGCATCATTGGCTGGACTGTGGGATAAGGTGGCATTGTTCTGATCCCATACGGGAGCAGCCAGTCACTGACTGACTAACACTGTAAAACAGAATTGTTAAAGTTTTAATTTTAATGTCAATTCAGGTTGTAAGTGCCCTCCAGCAGTGAATCCTGGTTAAAGGTAGGGCTGCTCGATTATGGCAAAAATGATAATCACGATTATTTTCACTGAAATTGAGATCACGATTATTTGACGATATTTATTTAACCCTTTAAGACCTACCATAGAACCAAGTCCACCAGAGCTCATATTATTTTTTTTACATGTTGTAGTGCCATTTGTGGGAGCATTTCAAGTTGCTAAATAACTGTTATAGCCCATATTTTAATAATATGTATGCATTAAGTCCATAGTAATTACATAAATTGCAAAAAAGTGCAATAAACTACAAAAAATTGAAAATCGCTTTTGTTTTGTTTACATATATTTCTACTTGGAGAAATTTAAGAGGCTTATCCCTCAAAACTTTAAATACAATAAAGTTGCAAAAAAATAGTTTACAACAACAGGAAATTTATTTGAGTGTCTTCATAGTTTTATTTTGGAGATACAGCAATTTTTATATACACTGCAGGAAAAACAAAAAACAATCCTATGATGCAAATTTGCAAAGAAAACAGCAGGTGCATCATTTCACTGTGGGAAGTGTTACGAACAGCTGATAGGATCGGCAAAGCGTGTTTCTGGAATATTATGTTTTTGTTCCTGCAAGCGCTTTTTATGCAGTTTTTGCAAAGCTATATGTGGAAGGAAACCGTGACCGAGGACAAGCTGATGGCATCAGATGTAAGTACAACTCCTCCGGTTTCATATGCAAAACAAATTATTGCGCTAGCTTACACGGTTCAGGTTCTACAGGGATTTAAAAATAGTTACGCAAAACGGAGCGTGCTGCTCTGACCGGCTTTAAAGGGTTAACAATAACTTTAAAAAAATAATATAACATAGTGTGCAACACCACTGAAGTTTTTTTTTTTTTTTAAACTCTCTGTTCAACCAACGGCAGTCACTCTCCAAATAACTCCTGCTTAGCTTTCCGAGCTTCCCTCGGGTCCTCTTAATCAGCGGTCTCCACCCTTTTTTGCGCCACGGACCAGTTTATGCCCGACAATATTTTCACAGACGGCCTTTAAGGTGTCGCGGATAAATGAGGGAGGGGCTAATAATCGGCTCAGTCATTTTTAATGATCGTTGAAAGCCCAGATCGTAATCGTGATTAAAATTCGATTAATTGAGCAGCCCTAGTTAAAGGTCAGGAACAGAAGCTCAGCATGTGCTAATATTGAACATCACATCCTGGAACCAACAGGAGTATTTAGACACACATGCTGGTACTGCAATGTAGTGCAAATGGATGATGGCCAGACTCCTAAGGATCATGTTTATGAGATGAGAACTGCCATTGAGAAAATATCCATAAATGTGGATCCCAGCTATGGCACAGTAAGAGGACCTGGGAAAATGTAGTCTAATAACAAAGAGGTTGGAAACAAACATCAAGCGCTGTGCTGGGACCATAACCACCAATCAGACTGCAGCTTGTTAAGGGAAAAAGACAGATACTCAGTTTTTACAAAGATATAAAAAATAATACGTCAAATGGTGAAATTAGGGAGAACAAGAAAGTCTGAATAACTTTCTAATAAAATCAAAAAATAAAATGAAAAGCTTTACCAGGCCTCATTTACTGATCCCTGAACTCTTCAGAAACCAGGCGAAAATATGTGTAACCCTCCGTCTTTGCTCCGCACTCTTCCAAAGAGTACTAATTCAGTCAAATATCTTTTCTGTGCTCTGCGGCATTAAATTCAATATTTGATTATGTTTATTTACCTCTGGCACAGAGGCTATGCTTTTAGTAGCGTTTCAGTGTCACTGTGTCTGTAAACATGATGGCTCACGTCAACAATCCATCCAAATTTGGCTTATCAAGGTCTTTAACTTAGAAACTATAATTCTTAAAAGTGTGGTGTTTATTATCAACATATAAAAAGTACTTTATTTAGAATTAAAATATTGTGATATATTTAACCTTTGACCTCTCGTTCAAGGTCAGTAGATTAATTTGAAGGTCGAAGTGTTGCCTTATTGAGCTATTTTATAGGGGTGCAACGATACACAAAATTCACGGTTCGGTTCGGTTCGATACTTTGGTGTCACGGTTCGATATTTTTTCGATACAAAAAAATGTTCATGCCTTTTTAATTTGTCATTTATTAAAATTATAAATATATATTTTAACTCAAAAGTACAGTTTTTAAATTTAACCCTAACCCTTGTGCGTGTTTTTTATTGTGACAGCGAATGCGCACCTGCGGACCACTTATGTGCAGCCCTGGTTATTTAGCTCGTCATATTGCAGCCACAGAAATAATTTTGTCCATGAAACCATAAAGCTGCACTTTCTTTTTGACTTATAGTCTGATTTGTCATAACTTCTCCGTTTTGTGGTAAGCTTTTCTTTGGCTGTCACTTCTTCACCCTGACCTGTCTTATTTGGCTCAGCAGAACTGAAATGCTTTTACACACTCACTCACATAAGCTCAGCGATTCTCTGCGCGATCAACCTCTCACATGTTTAAGCTGCGGGAGATTTCACTTGTCATGTTTGCATAGTAAGCTAACGATTAATAAGACTATGTCAGAGGAATTGGTGCGCAAATTATCATCACTCACAGATCAGTGCTGTCGCTCTCTATACACAGTTCGCACGATTGCAAAGTGAAAGCAAAAAAACAAGCGCAAATTCAAACGCGACTTCAATATGTCACATATTGACAGTGGCTCACCGATGCCAATGACATAATTACCCAGCTACATTTCTGAAAGAATGCAAAAGCATTGACATATATTTTTCCTACAATAGCCCGACGGGCAGGGAAGAGATAGATTTTGGTAGCCCGACTGAAAAAATCGCTAGCCCCAGGACGTCGGGCTAGCGATATTGCGAGCCCTGTATCTGATTGAGGAATCACTCATCTTTGGAAAAGAGAGTTTATTACAGAGAAATGGCTCTTTCCAAAGTAAAAGCTATACTATCCGCTTCTTCTGGGCTATATTCTCAGCAGCATAAGGAGAATCATGTGCTAACAGCTGTCTAAATGACTCGGCTAAAGTTAGTAGCATGCTTGCTTGTTTTTTTCTGCTTCCACTTGTCTTTGCACTAGGATGATGTCGGTGTAAATGTGCAGTCATATTCGTTGTGTTCCCACTAGTGCTTTCAGGTTAATCTCGTTGAAATGACCTTAACGCCACAACACGGCAAATCTCCGTTAACGAGCTACCGCCGATCGCCCCGTGCATGGGGCTAGACGGCCAACACGTTAACGAGCTAACTGCGCTAACACACTAGTTCCCACCCATGTAATTGAGCATTGCATGGCACATCCAACATACTGTTTTACTTTAGTCCATGACTCGCTTACCTTCAGGGTCATACGTCACATGAAAACCAAAATAATTCCAAACACCAGATCTGAATGAGGGTGGGGGAGGTCCATGTTGTAAGGGGAGCTTAACTTCTGTCTCGCTAGCTTGCCCTGCGCTCTTCCTTCTGACGATGCTGTCTGTGTTGAACGCTCAGTGAATCTGCGTTCGACTACTCCGCCTAGGCTGCACTGTCGACCCTAGGCGGAGTAGTCGAACGCAGATTCACTGAGCGCTCAACACAGACAGCATCGTCAGAAGGAAAGTTGATAAAATAAATCAAAAATTTTGTATTGTTCGATACATATGCGTACCGAACCGAAAGCACTGTATCGAACGGTTCAATATCGATACGAATATCGTTGCACCCCTACTATTTTATATTGTTAAAACAAAAATCTAAAATTTTAAAAACTTATTAATGCTTATCCAATTAATTTCACTTTCAAATTCAAATTTTATTTGTCACACACACACAACCATACACAGTATGACATGGGGGTGAAATGCTTGTAGCTGTACAATGCCCGACCATTAAATGACAGAAAAAAAGTTTTACAATATTTACAATTTACAGGTTACTACAAAATTTACAGATTTAAATTTACAGTAAAAAAATGTGCAAATAGCAGAAAGAGATCATAAATTATAGGAAGTGTGCATGAAGAAAAACCAGAGTGCGTGTGGTGATGTGATGTGTGGGAGAGTCCAGTCCTACACCTGGTTCAGGGCCCGAATAGCCTGGGGGAAGAAGCTCCTCTTCATTCTCTCTGTTTTGGCCTTAAGGGAGCGGAAACGTCCATTGTTGGGATGGGAGAGGTCCATCATAATCTTCCTAGCTTTGGACTTGCACCGCTTGGTGTAGATGGACAGCAGGTCAGGGAGCTCTGATTGAATGATGCGTTCTGCCGAGCGCACCACCCTTTGCAGATCTCGTCTGTCCTGCTTGGTGCTGTTCCCAAACCAGGTGCAGATGTTTGACGTCAGGACGCTCTCGATGGTGCAGGAGTAGAAGTTCTTGAGCACCTTCAGTGGCAGATGGAAGTCTCTAAGTCTTCTGAGGAAGAAGAGAGAAATTCTAGGATTTATCCTAGAATTAATTCTGTCATACCGCCTTTATTTAAAAGCACTTTAAGATGAAAAAAAAATAAAAGTAGAGAATTAGAAGAAATAGAAATAAAATTAAAAAAAAAACAATAAATTAAATTATGTCAATTTCTTCTTCCAAGAATAAATACTTGGAACAATTCAGCAAGCAGAACAACAGGCCACGACTCCAGGTCTTCATCAGACCAACGCCTGCTGGTCTGCTTGCTGAATTGCTCTAAGAATAAAATTCTTACATGATTTTAACCCAAATAGAGCATATGCAAATTCATAAATGGGCTGTGGTCATGAGTTCTTATCCAAGAAATGAACATTCAGAGACTGACTGGGTAGCTTTCATCTAAATGGTTGGTTTTACTTTCATAACTTCTTTTCACTCCAAATGAAATTTAAAGTTTTCTTTATTAAAGTTTTATTTACAAATTCATCAGGAGGTCTTAATAACCTCCTCAGATGCAACTCTGACACTTGACCCTTATCAACTGACCTTAATGCTCCTTTTTTGGGAACAACTCTTAAAGGTGGACATGTTCTCCTATGGCATGGTGATGTATGAGCTCCTGTCTGGGCGGAGGCCAGCGCTGGGACACCACCAGCTTGAGATAGCAAAGAAGCTCTCGAAAGGTATTCGGCCAGTGCTGGGTAGTCCACAAGAGGTTCAGTTCTGCTGCCTGCACAACCTGATGACTGAATGCTGGGACACTAAACCTGAGAAGGTGAGCTGTTTTTGGCTGACACAATGAGCAAATTTTTGTTGTGTGATGTAAGGAAAGTGTACTACACTTTATTACTTGTGTCAAAGTAGGTTGAGCTAGAGACTTATAACTTCACATTTGGAAGAAATTCTAAGAATTAGTCTAAAGAGGGGTTAGATTCCAACAATTGGTTCTCCTTTTACTGCTAAATTCTGAAATAAAATCACGTCGTGTCTCTCGGGAACATGTAGAAAACAAGATGTTTTTCCTATACTGCCCAGTTCTCAATGTTAACCTACTGCGGTTTAATCTTAAGATAAGAACAACTGCTCCAACTCACCTGGTCCATTTTCACTTTCCCATATTTTCAAAAGTGCAGGAAAGTTAAAAAACCGAAAAGGACTGAACAAGCATGGTCTAAGATTTCTAGATCATGGTCATAGTGGCAAGTGTAACAATAATGCTAAAATATTTCCTAACTGAAAATTAAATATTTCCATGGATATATGGATAGCATAGAATGCAAATGATAAAACAATCAGTCCCAATAAATGTTTTGACTATAATGTCAAAATATGCATTATAGAGCGACTCCATTATGTGAGTGTGAATAGTTTTCTCTGTGTATGAGTTAGCCCTGCGACAGACTGTCCAGGGTGTGCCCTGCCTCTTGGCCTAAGACAGCTGGGATAGGCTCCAGCTGCTCCCCATGACCCGGAAAAGGATAAGTGGAGATGGATGGATGAATAATGAGCACCACAAATGCATATATAACTTCAACATTTATTTTTTCAATCACAACTGTCGATGTATGTGTAGTCACAGCCATATTTTAAGGATAAAAAAACATAAAACATAATGTTTTTTGCAAATTTTAATGAAAGTCATTGTTCTGTGAATGACTTTGAGCTGAACTGCCTGTCTCTGCATTTGTGCTGCAGAGGCCAGTGGCAATGCATTGTGTGAGGCAGATGAAGGAGCCTAGCTTTGCCTGCCTCAGGTATGTATTGCCCTGTGACGTCAACTCTCAGCTCTTCCTGTCCCAGCTCCAAGGATATAGTGCTGTGTTCTGGAATGACGATAAGGAGGACAGGTTTGTGTGACCATTTCTCTTTGTACTGTGATTTATTTGCCTCTTATACACAATAATGAGCCCCACAATACATCTACCTCCATGTTTTAGTTGTCTTCTGTAGTTCAGGTCTTTTAGTGTTGTTGAGCTGGTTTTGCATTCCTGTTTATTTAGGATTGACTTGATTATTTACTTGATTTGACCCCTGCAAAGGTTTTTTCTGTCTCTGTGATGGGGTTTATTTGGTTTTCTCCTCAATGACAGTCTTTTTCACTTACATCAGCATTTCTTTGGACATCATTTTGCAAGTTCCAGTGAACTACCAACTGGAAGTTCAATTCTGCAGTCTGTCATGAAATAACAGCTGAAAAAGCCTCATCAAACCATGAAATGGATTATTAGCCTATTGTCCAGTTACTTTAGAGCCTCTACAAATGAAGTTAAATGTTTTACTTAAAAATAAAGCTGAAAATCTGCGCGCCAATTACACATTTCTGGTTTGATTTAAAATTTACTGTTGTTGTGTACAAAGAACCCTTTTATTGTCCAAAAATGTACGGCGCTAACTACATTTAACACAACATGTTTAACACAGCTGACTGAAAAAGCTCCCAGATGCATGACATAATGGCGACAATGGCTCTAGCTGTTTGTGGCAGCAGGACTGCAGGTTGATGTGTGTTTAAAAGCTGCTTCCTTGCTTTTAAACAAATACTGTTAATTGCTGCTGACTCCTTCACACTTTTCCCTCTTTTAACTCCTTTTCTGTGTCAAGACCATGTTACCTCCCCAACTCTTCCAGTGCCATTTAACTTGCATATTCTTTTCTTACTTTTGTTTGGCCACTCACACTAACTGGTTAACCAGCTCCTGAGGAAAGAGTGTACCTGGTTGCAAGCTGCCAATAAACTGCAGATCCCCTAATGCTTCAGCATACCAAGACAATTTCATCTTCATGGAACAGTTTGAGGATGGCCCCTTCCTGTTCCAACGTGATCGCAAAGTAGTACATCAAAGTAAGGTTCATATAGACATGGATGATCGAATTTGGTGTGGAACAACTTGACTGGCCTGCACAGAGTCCTGATCGCAACCCGACAGAACACCTTTGGAATGAATCAGCAGAGTCTGCAAGCCAAGCCTTCTTATCCAGCATCAGTGTCACAAATGGATGAATGGTCAAACATTCCCATAAACACACTCCTAAACCTTTTGGAAAGCCTTGCCAGAAGAGCTGACGCTGTTATCGCCGCACATGGTTGGGGGACATCATATTAAACCTCATACATTAGGAATGGTTCATGTGCATGTGAATGCAGACGAGCAAATACTTCTGGCAGCAAAGTGTATGTGCAAGTGGTCAGAAGAAACGTCCCAGGGAACAGTGCAAACACACCAGCAGCACTGGTTGCACCTTATATAGGCAACTTTTTGTTTAAGATATATTTATGCTAAAATTGTGAAATTGCTTATTGGTGAGAAATTAAAAATATATACAATATAATATAGAGTATTTAAACTGTAATAAACTAAAATTATATTTATAAAACATTAATAAACAATAGTAAAAAACATTTTTGTAATGCTTCATGCCAGTTTCTCAAGTTATCCATCACACATGTACTAAACGTGATAAATATTATATATTTAGCTTTAATTAACTAACCATGTGACATCGTCTTCCAAAAAGTGCCTCTACTCATCACTGTATAAAAACATTACTATACACAATATTGCTTATTTTGTTTTAACTTCCAACTCAGTGGTTCTAAATGTTTTCAGCAAAGAACTGTGTATTGTGCAGGAACTACAGTGTGGTGAATGTTAACAAGGGTCAGGTGGAGGTGAAGAGGATGGCCTGTCCAGGTAGCAGGATTAGCTGTCACATGAAGATGGGGAACACTCTGTGGATGGCAACTGAGGTACACATCCTGAAATTCAACGTGATACAGCTGCTTTTTAAATGCAGACATTTGGTGACTCATTTATTTACTGATAACTTTTTCATCTATGAACAGCAGTCAAACAATCATGCAATGTTATTTTTCACTGGGAAGCTTACTTTTACATCTGGGTAGCTTCAGAATTTACCTGCTTTTGTCATTTTTTTTAATGTGAAAAGAGGATTTCATGAAAACCCTTTTAGGGACACGAGGACACGAGGACACTGAGACTGCTACAGTCTTTTATTGAGTGTCAAACCAGTGTTGGAGGGAAAGTATTAGTTTCCCAGGGTAGGAGAACAATATCAAATCCTACATTGGCTGCCCTCCACTGTTGCCACAGCTCGGGGACAACGTAGTTGTCTCTAAATCCAAAAATAAAAAAACTCATTCTTTAGTTTCATGTTTCTGTGACAGGAACAGGAGGTGTTCATCTACAGTCTGAAGGACATGTGTCCACTCAGTCAACCCCAGAAGCAGTTCTCCTGTCCCGCCATCATCACTTGTTTGTTTCCTGTTTCAGCGAGAGAGCAGGTCAGGTCATATATCAGCATATGTTTAAGCAAACACGTTTTACACAAACCTGTGTTATTGTGTCACTCAGTACTGTGGGTTTACATACGGGCTTCAGTCTGAAACGTCTTAAAATGAATGTTGCTGATATGTCAGCAGCTTGTATCTAGAGCATTTGTGTCACATGCACTTGACAGCAAAGGAAACAAGTGTTCCACATATTTGGCTTTACATGGTGTCAACACATTGGTGCATTTTGACAGAGCATCAGTAGAAGACAAAATGAGACTTGAAGCCTAAGCAACCGTGAGCTTGTAATACAAGAGCGTCACGTACTGACCTATTGTTACATCCGTTTGAGAAGGATGGCTTAATAACGGTAGAAATGGTTTTTTAAACAATATTTTTATTGTTTTTGCAACAGCATACAAAGATTGGTTTTCAGAGTAATATGCAAAATGCTTTTTATATGTGGTGCTGCATTTTTTTGTTTGTCTGGAATTTATTTACCATTCAGTTGTTGCTCCGTCATTAAAAAATAGTTCATTGAGTCAATGAGTTTTATTTGTGTAGTGCCACATGACAACAACTGCAACCTCAAGGTCCTTTATATTGTCGGGTAAAGATCCTAAAATAGCAGAGAAAAAACCACAACAATCAGATGAGCCACTGTAAACAAGGACTTGGTGACACTGGGAAGGAAAAGCCCCTTTTTAACAGGAAGAAACCTCTGGCAGAACCTGACTCAGGGAGAGGCAGTCTGATGAGACTATGGGGTAAATGTCATGGGGATGAGGGGAAAGAGAAGAGAACAGAGGTAAACAAGACAAAAGACACATGTGACAGAGAGCCAGTGTTTCTAGGAACGCCCCAACAGTCTATGGCTATTGCAACATAACTAACAGACAGGGCTGGATCAGGTGACCCTGAACAAACTACATGCTTTATAGTAGATAGGGTGTCTGTCTCCCACAGAAGGAGGGGCTGTAGGATGAAGGCTCTGTCTACCATCCAACTTTTAGAAACTCTAGGAACCATAAGTGAGCGATCCGTTTGAGAGTGAAGAGGTCTATCAGAGCAATGTGGTACTATTAGATCTTTACGATATGATGGGACCTGATTACTCAAGACACTGTATGTAAGCAGAAAGATATTAAATTCAGTTCTGGATTTAACACGTGGCCAGTAAAGAGTGAAAAGCCAGTGAATAAGGAAGATACACAATAATCCCTATCAGTGCTATTGCTGCAGCAACTCAAGGCTTTTTAAGGAACATGACAACAGTAAATCACAGTAGTCCAGCCTCGAAGTAGTAAATGGATGAACTTACTGTGCAGTAAAATCTTGTGGTCAGCGGTATTGAATGCTGCACTTACATTCTAACAGTCAAGCACAGAAATTAGTCTACTGGGAGAGGCCATGAAAAGGTCATCAATAACATTTGCTAGTGCTGTACTGCGATGACCTCAGAGAGGTAACAGAAATAAACAGTTTCTCTGCATAAGTTCAGTTAGATGTTTTAAAAAGACTTTTGGCAAAGTTGGGTATTGATCAATACAGAACATTTCCTGCACGACCACCTCCAGTCTGCATACTTTTATACAGTTTTCATATTTTAACTAGCCAACACATTTTTTCTAATTAATGATCCCAATTTACACACAAATTACAGATCCTGGTTAATTTTGATGGTGAGAAAGACCAGGGGAAATTTCAGGCTTTAATAATCTTTGAGATATTCAAAATAAAGGACTGAAAGTGGGATAATGTAACATTTTTACAAAATATATATCTTGAAAACATTTTGATATCATGTACATCACTTGCTGTATATGTTCAAATTTTCTATCATAAATTTGTTTATGCAAATCTGAGACAATCCAGCAGATTGAATATCCCTAAAAGTAAATAACCAGCATCTTAAAAGCTTGTGTTGTGTAGCTCTTTAAAGATAGATATTGAGATTGAAGGACTAGTTAATGATAGGACTTCTTTAAGCATTAGAGTAGGAATGGGGTCTAGTAGAGACATTTATGGTGTAGAGGAAGTAAATACTGAACTCAGACAGACTGATAGGAGAGAGAGTCTAAATACATCTCAGCAATTCTCTTTCAAACCTCACTTGGTATCTCCCTAAGGGATGCGCCCTCTGTGGTGGTAGTGTAAAGCTGCACTACCACCACCTCTGTTCCAGACAGACAAATCACTGCAAGGACACATTTTCAGTTTCTTCATCGTGAAGATCATTCGTGAACACTAATGATGCCGTAATGTAATCCATTTTTCTGGTTTCAGGAATAACTGTTGCACTTAATATTCATAATAATTATAATAATATATAGAAGAGTTGACTGAGTAACCACATTAATTTGACTGAGGTCTATGTGGGCACCCTGCTTTCAGCCTACCATGCTGAACGGTTTGAGGACATGAGCCAACTGCTGGATACGGAAACTCCCAGTCTTACGGTTTGGGAGGAGATAATGTTGTTACAGAGCTTATTCTTCAGGTCTCTAGGGGGCAGTGCAGGGCTGTGACCATCCAGTTTCAGTGCTTATGGGTGTAATTTAGACTGGCACTCACCCTGAAGGTTTTCACCAAGTATATCGAAGCAATGGAAACCTCTTGCGAGTGGCGAGGCTCAGAATGTTTGCACGTTTTGCATATTTAAACAAACCACTATGCGCTGCAACAGGAACAAAGACCAGACCATAATTATTCTATCACCCTTTTCACACATGCAAATGTCCAATCCAGTCAGATCACACCAAAACGGTCATTAGTCTGTGAGAATAGCACATGGAATAGTCTGGCATATTCCCAATGTTCGAGTAGATGTGAGCTGTAGATGTAGGTGTGCTTCCTAATGCACAGTCAACAACAAACAAAAACAAAACATTGTATTTTCAGTTGTGAAAACGCATCTGAAACCATAGTTCAGTTTCAAAAAGGGCTGATTATTGGTAGACCTTTTGAATCAAGAAATCACCTGAATAGAACCTCTCTGACAAAGTCAAGTAGTTGAAAGGGTTACAAAGCTTTTTCTAAGACTTTGGAACTCCAATAAACCGTAGCCCCATAATCCAGATCCATCATTCAAAGAAGAACAATATTTCTTCACTCTCTGTGTTTATCCACTACTTTGCATTTAATCATCAGTCAGCATCGATCTCTGCCTCTCTTTGGGAATGTGTCTCTTGTTCTGTTTCCCTTCCCTCACCCTTATCCACTCATGACAGAAGGTTGCTCCTTCCAGAGTATGGTTCTGCCAGAGGTGTTTTTTCCCTGTTAGAAGGGAGTTTCTTCCTTGCTGTTGTCACCAAGGGTTGCCTCATAGGTCATCAATTGTTGGGGTTTCGTGTCTATTATTGTATAGTCTTTACCATCTTATATGAAGTACCTCGAGGTGACAGTTGTTGTGATTTGGTTCTATATAAAAAAATAATTGAATAGTCTGTGGACTGATGGGACAAAAGAAACCTTGTGGAAGGATTTCGTCCCATTACTATTTTATAAATGATGAAGCTCCACTGCTTCAGGACCTGGACGGCTTGCTGTCATTGATGGACACGTGGATTCTGCTCTCTACCATAAAATCCTCAAGTGTAACGTCAAGCCATGTGCTTGTGCTCTGAAGGTAAAGCACTTTTGGGTTATGCACCAGGACAAAGATATGAAACAAGCAAGTCCCAAACATAACATAAGCAAAGCCCCCTGTAATTGCTCAAAAAAAGGCGCCACTAGTCAGTTACTGGTTCTCTGAACCACTGTTTGGAACTTAAGTAGAAACAACAATTGAGATTCCTTCCCCAATCTGAAGATGAAAAAAAGCAATACTTAATTAAAAAAGCAAACCCAGAACATACAGATACCAAACTAGAGGGATACACGTCTGCCCTGCCCTGTCCACAATGCCTCTCACTGAAGGTAACTCTGGATTGGACTCCAGTCCTTCTCCATAAGACTGGTTTCAAAATCCAAACTGTGTTGACATGAGCCTGACTATAGAGAGGACCATCCTGGTCTCTACATCACCCAATCCATAAGCCACCAACCCCTATAGCACCTAATGCAGGTGGTAGACCAACAAGTGAGCAGGCTTATGTTCTTGTGCTGTGCTGAGCCGGCTCCATGGTCTAAGGTGGAGTTGTCAGGCATTCTCCCTCAAGTCCTGCAGGGTTTGGAGTTAGTTACATATTTTTTTAAACCTGGTGCTTTT